AAATATTACAGGTAGGATGAGCGTACTTCTTTTCAGCAGGGTTCAATTGATATAGTGCTAGAGATGCGTGTATTAACACAAGGAGAACAAATGGAGTGTATGTGGTTTCCATATTGTAATGTGCGCATAGTGGCGTTCAAATGTGGAATTGGACAAAATGTTTAATTTCACTGTGATATTAAAACAATATTCATTCATCACGAGCAGACAAGTTAGGAAGAAAGAGTCAACTCGATTGTCTCTCCTAAAATTCTTGCTTTTTCCTGTTTGTGTTTGTCTCTATTTGCACTTGCTTGAAAGAATTGCTTGATCAAAATTCAAGTTTTTTTGGTCTTTTGCCTACCCTTTTGCAGTCTGAACTGCAAAGCACCTTCTTCTACCTTTACTAAATTTGCGGTTGGGCCTCTAAATCTTTCTCATGTTTCAAAATCTCTCTGTGGCTTACGACGTTTATTGCCTACTAACTTTTCAAGCCAAGTCAATTTCCTGAATGATGAGTTGGGCTTATCTAGCATGGTTGTACGTCACATGTGTGCAACAAGAAGTATTCTACCACTACTCCATGCTTGGTGAGTCCCCTTGATACGTTCAATGCAATGTCGGAGCTCTAGCTCTTCCACTTTGATCATACTAGGGCTTTCATCAAAAAAGTATTTCAACCATACCAATTGAGTATGGAGACCACGCCTGGCCTTTTCTTCCACTCCAAATCTGTTGGCTTTGTTGTTTTTTCTACAGGGCTGATTTATAAAATGTAGAAAAAGCAGAAATGAAAATGTAGAAAAAGCAACAATGCCAACAGATTTGGAAAAGGAAGAAAATTCCAAACGTGCTCTCCATACTCAATTGATATGGTTGAAGTACTTTTTTAATGAAAGTCCAAGTATGATCAAAGTGGAAGAGCTAGAGCTTCGGCATTGCATTGGACGTATCAAGTAGTCTCACCAAGCATGGAGTAGTGGTAGAATACTTCTTGTTGCACACATGTGGCGTACAGCCATGCTAGAGAGACCCCAACTCATCATTAATGAAATTGACTTGACTTGTAAAGTTAGTAGGCAATAAACGTTGTAAGCCACATAGAGGACTTAAAATAGGAGAAAGATTTAGAGTTATAACCGCAGATTTAGGAAAGTTAAAAGAAGATGCTTTGCAGTTCAGACTGAGAAAGTGCAGGCAAAAGGCCAAAAAACCTCAAAGTCTGATCAAACAATTCCTTCAAGCAAGTGCAAATAGAAACAAAGGCAAATAGGAAAAAGCTAGATCATAGAATAGATGATCGACTTGACTCTTTCTTCCTAACTTGTTTACTTGTGATGAATGAATGTTGTTTCAATATCCTAGTGACATAATACCATTTTGTATAATTCCACATTTGAACGGCACTATGCGCAGATTACCGTCTGGAAACCACATACACTCCATTTGTTCTCCTTGTGTTAATAATACACGCACCTTTGGCACTATGTCAGTTGAACCCTGCTGAAAAGCAGTAGGCTCACCCTAACGGTAATACTTGTATTATAGTTGTTCTTATTGCATTATAGAATAGATCCAACAACAAAACTCTGGGTAGCAAAGTCTAGATTCTTAAAACTAACAATTATCACATTTGCAACGATGCTCTCTGGTGTTCCTGAAGTATGAAAGCATAAATTGCAGAGAGCATCTTCATGTACATCTGCGCACTATTCTCCCAAAACTCAAATGCTAACTCTGTTTCAATACCACAACTTCTTTAGTTCGAACTGTAATTTCGGTATCCTTATGATATGCAAATAAACAAGTACTTGCTAATGGGAAAAAAGTTCTTTAACCATTGGAGCGGTTCTTATTGTATTAGAAGGTTTTGAGTTAGCTACATCTGATTAAATTTCTACTGAAATGGAAGATAAAATTGGTAGTTCTTTTTTCAATCTTACAGTAATGATAAAAAATATATTTCAATAATAGGTTCAGTTCCAGGAAAAGAATATAGTGAAATGGTTTTTCCAATTCTTTTTCCAGATCCACCTGCTAACAAAGAAGCTCATTTTTAAAAATATCCCGTTTTTGTTGGTGGTAATAGAGGGAGAGTAGAGATTTATCTTGATGGAAGTAAAAATAATAATACAGTTTATAATGCTTCAATTTTAGGATAGGTAAGTAAAACTTTGTTGTAAAGAAAAAGGTAGGTATGAAATCACAATTGATTATATTTCAGATGGTCATAAAGTTGATATTTTGCCTGTAGTACCATAACTTATTATTTCAGAAGTTGAGCTTGTATACTTTTGCGCAGGTTGGATACTCCCATATATGTAATGCTATGAGTAAAATCTTAGATTAGCATATGAAAACTATGAAGCTTATATTAAAGGTCAAAAATGATTTAATTGAATTTTAAACTACTTTCTTTGAAAAAATTCAAATATTTGATATATTTGGCTTTCAAAAATTCGAATTTCCAAATTTCTTTAGTAGATCCATTATTTTCTTTTGACTTATTTACTGAAATGTTTATTTGTGCTCAAATCAAACGGCCGGTAAAATTTGACTAAAGGTGATGTCGGAGTTCCAATCCGTAGGCGAATATTCCGACACAGCTTTTTGAATATCCCCTCATCGACATGAGCACCCGACAGAGTTCGGACAACTTCGAATTTGAATTCGTGGCGCTTTCGTTCGAGAGGTGAATTTGCGATGCAGAGGCGACGGTGGTGATAACACAGTTCTAAAAGTTGTGGTAAGTTTTCTGAGACAAATGAGAGGAGATGATGGTGAGGCAGAGTAAAACAATGTCATCTCTGTTTGAAGTCTCAAAGTCACAATCATGTGAAGTTTAATGCCATCGAGAACTTCCATGTGATATAATATTTATTCCCTAGACCATTACAACTGTGTTGCCATTAGATGCCAAATTGCTGGTCTTTTGCTGTTCCAAATTGAAGGTCAATCTTGAACTTGCTGCAATAGCAGATCCATGAGAACGTAGCGGACTCGACTAGCACACTGACTCATAAAAACTGTATTGTGCAGGTATTCCAAATTAAGACTTTTTTACTTATACTATTACTAGTTTGACATGAATATGTAAAACAATCACACAAATCCGAGGATTGCACATAAGATGGCGGAAACAGATGAAAACTTTGTACACTCCTGAGAGGCTAGCGAATATATATTATATCAGATGCAAACTCTCGATTGCATCAAACTTCACATGACTGTGATTTTGGGACTGCAAACAGAGATAACATTTTTTTACTTTGTCTCACCATCATCTCCTCTCATTTGTTTCAGAAAACTTACCAGAACTTTGTTATCACCACCGTCTCTGCATCGCAGATTCAACTGTTGAAAGAAAGCGCCACGAATTCAAATTCAAAGCTGTCGGAACTCTGTTGGATGAAGGGGCATTCCGAAAGCAGTGTCTAGAAGCTCAAGCCTGAGTACGTTTTACATACTCAGCAGAACCCTACGAGCAAAAACTGAAGAGTTTCACGCAAGACACAGCGCAAAGTGCCAAAAAAGGCCCAGATCGTACCTCAAATCAGTCGAAAAAAGCAGCAAATTGCAGCCCTGTCGAGTGGCGAGCAGAGTAAATGCGACCTTGCAAACTGAATGCATAAATTACGGCCGGGCACCTCAAGAAGAAAAGCTTCACAGTAATGCAGCACTGCGAGCAAAACCTGAAGAGCTTCATGCAAGACACAGCTCAAAGTGCAAAAAAGGGACCAGATTGTACCTCGTACCCAGATCGCTGAGTAAAACTATTTTTAAATAAAATAGTTTTATTCTTGTACTTATGACATGAAGTGTGTATGGAGTCATATTAAAAAGTTTGGGCCAAGAAGAACAAAAATCCAACTGCTTGGAAGTGTCATATTGACTCATAATGTGCAATTTTGTGGATGTAGATTGAGATAACAAGAATTGTTTGGATTGACAAGATGTAGTAATGTATTTACTTTAAATGACATAAAAGAGAATCGAACAGTAAAAGGAGAAAACACAGTGAAATACAGTGAAAATCTTTTTGAGGTAAGTTTAGACCAATGATTATAAATAAGTTGTTATATGTGCATATAACAACATTTGGTAGCATGCATATAATCAAAGTTTCTAGGGACTTATAACAGGACTATCTTAGGTGAGTTTAGGTTGAGAACTATGTTCGTTTGAAATATGAAGCTGATGGGAGATCCTTTGAGACGAGGGTGTTCTACATTTCATGTTTTTCGGAGATGTAATACTTTATGCCTTTCAAGTAGTTCAAGACCACCTTGAGGTAGAGAAGGTGATAGGTGGGAGTAGTCGCGGGTATGTGAATAGTGATTTGACGCGAAGCCTGAATACTAACCTTGCAATTCAATTGCAGGTACCAGATATTGGAACAAGGTATGATGTAGCTTTGATCAAACTGGACAAAGTTATTCGAGACCTAATTTGGGAGATATGATCTAGCTGAACTCAAGATGAGGCAAACTTTTAGTGTGAAGAAAATTAGAGAGTTAAATTGAAGAAGTAAAAAAAGGCTGGAAGAAATTTCGCACTCACTGAAGACCGAAGATGACGACATGGAAGGAAGAAGGGGAGTACTGGAAGCATAATAACACCATTTCTTTAAATTTGCTACCACACAAGGAATAAATATCTAACAATTGTTACTTACAAATTTGAATTCGTGGAGTAGACTAATCACACAAAAAGTTCATGAATACGATAAATACGTGTTGAACTTAAACAGTACTTTTTTAACCGATATACTTAGGTAACATTCGGTCTAATAGTCCCTTAAAGACAATATGTGGCTTCCTCACCTTCTGAAAAATAGATGAACCATTGCATCCTAAATTAAGTTTCCTGGAGACACGGCCTTTCCTCAACAAAGAAAAGCCCTGAAAAAAGAGATAACTTGAGAGTTTCAAATCTAAAACATTTTTGTTTTGTTTTAGTTACTCCCGTAACGTAGCAAGATAATCAATTCACAATTCCACGCAGTTTAATACAATGAGGTGGATATATTCAACCTGCCATCCGTGTTCACGAACCCTCCACGCATTACAATTTGGTACTCTTACTGCCTGGGCGTAGGCGGGAATGTTCACAACAGTGATGGGCTAACTTAATCCGGGATCCAGGATTTAAGAATTCCTATTCAAGTTTGCTCAATGTATCTGGACCGTTGGAGCAAGGAGAGGGTTGCTGTCAGGAAGAAGGGCTACTTCGTTTCATTGGTATCGTTTCAGCAGCGTCGTAAAGATACATGTTTTTGGTCGAGGGTTCCTGGTACGCAAGCTCTCAATCCTCGTTAGACAAACGTACGTGCTATTGGCTTTGATAGTAAGGTTCGAAAGTCTACTCTCTGTGGTCTACTTGTGAAACCCCTCCTCAGTCCGGAGCTTCCAGGTTTGACTGAGTTGAGGGCTGATTATGATATGTACATGATTTCCTGAAGTGCTAAAACTTCTGTGAATTGGTTGCAGTCTTGCACAAGAGCAGTAACGGACCCATAGAATTGGGATTGTTGGAAACGCCACAATTCCGGCAAGACTTTTCTACCGATCTGCCAGTCTGAAATCCTGGGCGAGTCAGAACCTTCAATTTCAAGTTGCAAAACACCTCCAATCTAGAGATAGAAGATATGGGTTGATTTTGAGGTGAAAATAATAAAGTTTACGGATCATGATTTGGAATTATCCTCCTTTCTTCAGTGAGAAAATTTCGAGATGGCTAATTTAAAGAGATGGGGAGCACGATAAAGCACAAAAATTTTATACAAAGAATGGTTTGATACATCTGCAGGTGAGCTTTTCAGACTCTTCGAGGCATTTACAGGCTGGCCTATAATTCAGTGCAAGACTGTGGGAAGCATAATTAGCTTACCAGAAATATCTCTATACATGAATTCCATACTAGTTCTAGCATGGGACCCTCTCAAGAGTGCAAGAATATTACCTTCAATTGTGCAAATAATCACTATCACCTTGCCACATGCAGATGTCATGTGCAAAAGCAACAGCCCCAGCATACGCATACCCTAGATAAGGGGTAATAGACCATCCCATAAGTTCTTGCGATGAGGTACCACGTCCATTAGCAGCTTCTCAACACTATTCCATTCATCACGCTGAACCGCCAAAAGGCTCCCATTTTTTGCAGCGATCTTCTCCTTTTGCTGTCTGGAACCCTGATTCGAAAGAGGATGCAGAGGATCAGAAACAGAACTAAATGCCAAGCAACAGCATTGAAAGTCCGAAGTGCTTAAGTGCTTGTCCTCATGGCAACTGTAAATTTGAATAAGAGAGTAAGACAAGGTGCGTAACATAGACTCGTACCATCCATTGTACCCACAGCTTGTAGGTGGCTGCAAACTCTCGCTGCCTGTTCGCATCATCTGTCAGATTACTGCTTACTGCAGAAATGCAGCTATTGACAAATCGCTGCTCGCTACCCATGGAAAGAAACGTTTCCTCCAAGTTCCACTCCTGCCCAGACTCGTCAGAGTCCTTACAGATAGCCGTAGGGTATATCCCTTGCGGGCTTGATAAAACAGGTCCAATATGTAGAACCCAGCCATAAAAAAGGAACCGAAGATGAAGCCAAAGCGCCTGATGACAACGATGCAATTTTATAAATATCAAAGTACAAGTAATTGCTAGAAAATCTCGCACGTTTTTATTCTACGAAGTATCTCTTAAAAGAAGGATATGGAGATATAGCACTTCATGAACGGCGCCACATAGCCTTACTTCTCGGCCAAGGTAGCGGTGAATTAGCTTTTTGGTCCAGTCCACTTCCTCCTGCGTGCATAGACGAGAAATCTGGTCAGAATAAATTGTGAGCTACACATTTGCATGTGCGACCTTGTCCATCACGAAATATGACTCCAAACAAGTTCTTGTGATAATGCGGAACATACCTTCCATAAAGATCGAGTTTCAGGGCCGTCAAACACAGCCACCCGTAAAGCTCTCATATCCAGTTCCTTCTCCTCCGCGGTGGCAGCGACTGGTCTGCTTTGAACCATTCCTGGGACTTTGGACTTGAGAAGTTGTAACAACAGGGACTGCACTTACAAATATAACAAGCATATAAGTAAGAACCCCAAATTCAATATAAAAAATTCACAAAAAACCTTTTCATCTATCCTTTCATCTCACGATTGCAAAACGATGGATAAGTAGTACTCAAAGAAGGGACGAAACAAGCCTTGAAGTAGCGCACTCACCCTCCGATAGTGATAGCAACAATTGTCAGCGACGTGAGTACTTGCCCACAACTTTGTCCTGTGTAATTCGATGGCGATCTGTTGGAAAGAAAAACATTGTGAGAACATTTCCCAGGAAGTAGCAACGGCCGCGTTTTAAAACTATCGATGGGTTGAGTAAACCACCGGCTGTAAGCAGCAAATCTGATACCAAACCTAAGGATATAAAACTGGATGCAGTAAGACATACAGTAGACATTGGAGACGTTACAACCATTTAATTATATGAAAAGATGTACCTGTAGGAACGACATTTGCGTGACCAGCCAGCAGCGATGGCGCCAAGCCCGGTAGTTCATTGGAGACCTCTGCGACACCCCAATCAAGAAGCCGGCTGTGAGCCCAATGTCTGCACCCCAAGCACAAAACAATGACATAAGAGCAGAGCTCATTCTAAAGCCTGTCGAGAGAAGCTATTCCTAACAAGTCACTCGATATCTACGCTAGGATGACGAAGATCAAGATTAGTGCGGAGACCTGGATCTGTTCACCGGATATCCTTTATGTGAACACATAACATATTCCATGACATAAAGCCATTTGCTTCCTTGACAGGACTGCAGCGACAAAGACCAACAAGACACACACTCTTGAAGAGCCTTTAGGAGACTACCCTTTTTTTCTTTTTTAATACCATTCGAAGTCTTTTGACGCGACAAATCGTCACCCAAACTGATACAAACAGCTTATACACTTTTACTTCTGTTAAACAGTATATCTATGCAAGAGCACACAGTGCATTCACATGACATCAATAAAAGACTCCGAACTGAAGTTTAAAGCCGTACCTCTGCCACAGCTTCTACAAGTTTCGAATCACCTTCCAAGATGAGATCCAATTTCACCCTGGATACCCCTCCGTTTATCATTTGATTGATCAACCAACGCCTGCAAAACCAGCATACAAGCACTCACTTCATCACCGATAAAACAGACATATGCACAGTCCCATATCAGAATCAAATATTGTCCTTCTGAACAAGTAACTAATCAACAACAGTCGTCACTTCATCTAATCCTATTATTGACCAAACATATGTTGACTTTTTTAACTCGAGGAAATGGAAGAAAGCAAGACCTGTGAGCCCACGTCTCCTCGCTCTTAGGAGCACATGAAAGCACGATGCTGGCTATGCGAAGCTCAGCGGAAAGGAGGATCTCATTCGCTGTTTTCGTGCTAAGTATACGCTTTCTGTAAACAAACAAATTGCACACCTTCATCAGGAAGTTGACAGCCTCAACCAAGAAGCACACATCTACAGCTTCTGTAGTCAGTAAACCCAACTACTACTTCAGGCATCATCTGAAAAAGATAACTGAAAACCCAAGTGACCAACTGCTCCGTCCCTTCGGTTTCTATACTCCATAATCTTCTGAGTATTCTCCTTTGAAACACAAAACGTCACATACTGAGGAAAGTTGTAAACCTCATGTTCCACGCACTTGCATGATCACAGTTGATCAAAACCAAAGCTCGAGTGTAACTCATCAGGCTGTCCTCTAGTCCGCATTTACTGGTGATTGAGGTCGCCGTTACACTCTCTTGATTTTCAACCGTCCCTAGTGCACTGGGCGAATTCAGTTCTGCTCGACCGATCTTTCTATATTCGGCGGAGCTCGATGTGAAAGCATCCTTTGCATACTTGTACAGAGGCGCCAAGGCCAGCATTGAGATGGCAAGTTTGTGTTCACCGCACCAAAACGCTGTCCTGTCGTATGGTATTTTACTGCCGGCTCTTTCCTTCTTGAACGAAGTCCCCTCCATAACACCCAAGGCGTCCACCCCAAGTTCACTTTTTCGTGAGCAGTCCGCATGGGCATGTGATTCATCCTCGGGATTTGAAGAGTTGTTTGAGTGGGATAAACTTCTCGGGGTCTTCTTTGAAAATGGCGAGTTACTTGGCATAGCATCATCGGAGTGCAGGCCGCTCAGCTGAGATGGATGAACAAACCCCAGCTCATCACTGTGGCAAACGTGCCAACATCAGTAACCGCAGGGGTGAAAGATAGGACTCCACAATCATCGAATTCAACACATCATGCCACATCGAATGAGTACTCAGAACAATAATCTTGACGTGTGGGGCATTGGATTTCTACAACAGTCGTTCTACCAGTGCGATCTCTTTAAAGGCGAGTCATTATTACCTGGTTGCAGGGAGAAATGGTCTGTCTGCCTACATGAAACCGGATGCAAAAATTCAAACCAGATCACAATAGCCGGAAGCCTAATCATAAAAGCCAAGGGTCGAACGCGATGTTAACAAGCGCGAACTCGTGACCTGACCATTGTTTCATCTTCGAAAAAAAATCCATCTCAACATTCAAAGGATTCGCTAGGTAGTGTTTGCAGTTAAACCCTAAAGGTAAGTGGTCTGTTGTAGCGCGACATGTACAAGGGATCTATATATTTTCCCTTCTTATCAGATTTATAAGGTCGGTTATAGTTCTCTTGTCGCCGGTCTGAAGGGCGTTCATAATTCGTCGTCGATAGCGGCTTCAGCTCTGCCGTGCAGTTTGGTGCCAATTTCAAGACCGCGCTAAGAACGATGATGTAAGACTCTGATCGAACGAAGGAAATGTGCAACACCGCGGAAACTCGAACTTTACATCGGATTTCGAAAAGGGTGGATAAATTTCGGCAGATTTATTAAGACCATGGGGAGCTCAACTCAACTTCATCTCCAGAGAACTTGACGAAGACTGAGAAACGCAGGCTAGATGTGGATCGTGAAGAGGTCGTCACTCCTAAAAAAAGGTGAACAAAGAAATCCCAAGAATCATTCGAGAAAATACCAGCCCTGGTCCATGACACTGGTAGTCATCAGAGAAGAGAAAAGACGTGAACAAGGCGCACTTACATTGCAGGATCGCTGAGGAGAATGAGATCTAGTTGAGCTAAAAGAGTTCGGCCACGCGGGAAGCCATCGTCCTCCGATCCATCCATGGAGAACTAATGAAGAAAATCGCCTCAGGCTCCGAACTCCTTCCCTGTAGTGGTTACTGGCTGCTGTGCAGCTGCACCAATGGCCGGCTCCACGTACAACCCGTCTTGCCCTGCCTCGCTTACCTTTCCCTTTCCCCTCTGGCCGCCTTCTCCCTCCCTCCCTCCCTCCTTGCCCTCCTTGACTTCGGCAGCCTTCCTCGTCTCTCCCCTTCGCCACTCCTCCTCCTCCTCGTCCTCCTCTTCTTCACCCTCGATCTCCTTCGCCGGATCTGCTCTTACAGCTGCAGAACTCAGCAATGAGTTTCTTCAGTGTTTCATGTCCTCTGGATCCATGGATCTCAGGCTCATGCTGCTTCCTGCTGCAACATTGCCTTGGTGCTGCCTATCGCCCGAAGTTCCAGCCCCGTGGCCCCACTGCTTGCTGCAAGGGTGCAGCTCTAATCTAAATGCTAATTAATAGAATGGTTGACGAGCCATCTCGCCTCGCGGAGGGGTTTGGCTTCTCCAGCAGCTGCCATAGTAAAGACAACCTAGTGATCGTCAGCCCGGCTTCACGACATGATTCCCACACTGCTGGAAGTCTTGGCTCACGTCAAGATTTCCCCTTGGTTCAGATAGCTCCGGGGGACGGACCCATAAGTTTTCCCCGTTCTATCTTTCTCCTTGCGCCTCGAGACGTCCCATCTCGCTCGCCTAGAGGCGTCTATTTATCCATTGTTGTCAGGCCCTTAGGATCCAGCTCCAGCAGCCCCAGCCGCCCCAGCACCCAGTAGATGGCTGGGGCTGCCGTGGTACGTGGGCTGGCAGTTTATAGCTCGCTCGCTGCATGCTTAATTCCCTCTTACCACTTCTGAGTGTCGGTGCCATGTTAGGCATGTTAGATATGGGAGTCAAAGTTGGTGGCGGGTCGCCTCATTGGGCTGCGCACATTGGTCCAGCTATTGCCTGCTGCGGATAATATACTATTTCGTTGTGCAGCGTTGTCCTGTTCCTTCTACGATTTCGTGTCCCTCTCGACCACTTTGGTCTCTTTCAGTTCATTGGGTTTCTTAGTCCTCTTCCGAATATTGTACAGTCCGTATTAACCGACTTTCTGTGACGCTGCCTCGTTTGTTGCAGCTGGTGGGGTCTGGCCCTCACTCTCGCTCTTGCTGCTCTTTGGAATCACCAGCTCAGAGGTTTTTTAGTTTGTTAGAAAGCGAGCCCAAGACTTCTGAGCAGACTCCGACCCGGCCTTCATAATTGCGATGAGTGCGGTTTCTCCAAGGATTTAATGCGGCCCGTCAGTGGCTTTGGCTCATAATTTCACGCAGCTGTCGGGATTGCAGGAACATAAGAACCGACTCATGAATCGTGCAGCTGTATCAAGATGTTGTCATGCAAGCCATCACCTCGCACGACCATAATGGTTCAACCTGTACTCCTACACCCTGAAAGAACGATGCAGGAAGTACGAGTGAAGTACACACTCTGTACGAGGCCATTTCCAACCTGGAGTGCGATCGTGCTCGGTGGCGTTTTCTCTGCCTTCACGGGCGTAGGAGTTTTCTGGCTTCATCTGCCGGCTCTGAGAAGTTCGACGTGCATCCTGCAACCTTCGCCGTAGTCAGCTGTATGTAAGACCTCGACAGGAGAAAAGAACACAGTTTGGTCTGTTCCCAGTGCCCATCCAAATTCCCGTTGTTTTAAAGTGATGTGCTTCCCATGATATAGTTGCAGCTTTCTACTGACATGTTGGAGATCCTCGGCGATCTTCCAGTGACTTGTTATTGATTAACCCCTGTAAGAATAATCTGCAAATATGGTCGCGTCCTGTAAGGATCATGTAATATTACCACATGAGAATCGGAAAATTCAAGCCTCATGACCTGAAATTTAAGTTTGAAGTAACGATGACCATCGGTATCGCTCAAATTGTATCTGTTCCTGATCTCAATGACCAACCTGTACAGAACGAGTCGTGCTTCCAGGCTAGGAGATGATGCATCTTGGACAAACTTTGACGATCGATCTGAAACGCCTAAAGACAACACGGTAAAAAGGTAGAGGTACAAAAAGCCCATACGGAGTGTCGCCTCTTCTTTCGAGCCTCCTATCATCAGGAACTGCTTCTCTACACCAGGTCGTGAGTAAAGCGTCTCGCTCTTGAAAAAACTCTTGATACAAGGTTGTGAGTGAGTGCCAAGTCGAACAGAATTCAGTTTGCTCCGCACAGAAGAAGCTGTATGTCTGACGACTTCAGACCCTATAATTATGTATGTACAGCCCAGGAATCACATCAAACTGTGAGTCGCAGAAACACCTAAACAACTACATTAAAGCCACAGGGTTGGATACTCAAACTGGTTCGTATGCACCAAAACCTGTTGAGTTTTACAAAGGGCCAACACACTTAGTCTGGACGCATGGCTAGTAAAGAGGACCCGAGGGAAGGCGTTATCAGCTGTATGATACCCTAGGGGTTGACAGGGTATATACGATGAGCCACAAACCATCTCGAGTCTATCTAAGAACCCTGCACAGCTAATCTCTGCAGATGGTCGACAAAAACCTGCAAGCTCACGTCGTCTGTGAATATGACTTCTCCGCTTCCATATTGGTTGCTGTTGTGAGTGACTGAAGGATTCAACTTAGCCAACAAGAACCGAGCCTGGCTACCGTGTTGATCGCAAACGATCAGTTTTGGTAGAGGAATCCTCTCCTCCAGCAATGCCTCTGCATCTCCCACCGGTGCTTCTAAGAGCTTCTTGAAATTTTCGTGACTGGGGTCGTCTTGATACCGAAGTTTTCTCCACTGGGCGATTGTTGATCCATAGTGTACCACAATGTAGAAGTAGGAGTCGAACAGCAGGATGCGATCTGGTGTTATAGAGCTCACATCGAGAAGAACTGGAACCGGTGGTCCGTCGAATGAATAAGAAAAAAGAGTTGGTTGGATCATGATAAGAGATCCGACAACCCCTTCCTGATTGAGCATTAATCTGAAGAAAGCTGTTTCGTCTGGAGTGTTGTTGAATACTTGGAGAAACTGAGATCTACGTAGGTGAAACATGAACTGAGGGTATAGAGAAAAATTGGAAGAGAAACGAAACGAAGACGCATCTTCTTTTTGATAGTCTCCGAATTTGGCAGCAACTCGGATCAGCATTCGATCCAGCCATCTCAAAATATCAAAAACTTCCTCATTTTCGGTCTTATACACTGCAAGGCGAGCCATGAGCGCGGCTGCTGCCTCTTGATCAAATCCAGCTGCTAGCTCCTGAATCTGGGCTGAATCCACCCACCTGCGAGCTGTCGTGGTGACCCTCAACCGTACTTGCCCACTTCCGTGCTGATACTGTGTGACAAACTGAATGAAGAAAAAAGTTCCATTGGGAATAGGATTCGAGTGCTGGTTTACCACCTCGAAGTATACAGCAACGGCTGTCTTATTTGTCAATGAACACAGTTTCCACGCACTTGTCCCGCCTATTCCAAGTTCCGTATCACTGACAGAGACAGATTTCTTATTCAAGGTCGCGCAAGGCCCAATGGCTCCGCAGACTTTTATTTCCCTCGTGGTTATGACCTCCAGTGAGCCGTTGAAACACATCTTCAGATTACCATCTTCATCCCGCGAAAACAGCTTTTGAAGAGATTTTCTAAATTGATCGGAGTCGAAGGTTTCTGCCAAGACCATCAAACCGCCTGTGGATTCAACGGCAACTTTGGCTTCAGCTGTTCCTACTTGATCCAGTGAACATGCAAATATATCCAGCACATGACAATTGGCCACCAGACGTTGAGATAGTTGACTGTAAAACTTGCATGCCTTCTTAAAAAGGGGTGCTCTGTCGTTCACAAGATCTTGATGAGTGCGGATGCTCTTCGCAAGATCTGTCTCGACAATCTGCCCGGGTCCAACTGTTGCTGGGCCAGAAACAAAACTCATAATTCGAGCTCCTTCATTCGGCATGGTACCCTCCATCAAGCCTACAGCTACAGCAAGAGCAGCTCCCGTGGCCCTCCGTGTTCGGTGACCTGCTTGTACAGGATCGGAGCTTGGTTGGAGTTCCTCCAAAGCGGTCGTTAAGGTGAACTCACATTCTGAAAGAGGAAGCATGAAACGACCTCGTCCTCCTCTTCCAGTTCCGACTGCTACCCCCTTTTGATTCGTTTTACCCGTTAGACCTAATTGTTCTTGCACCTGCAGAAAACGCAAATCACCTTAGTAACTTGACAACAGTGCGAATAGACAGTTGGACAGATAAAGCACTCTGCTGATTCTAATTTGTTCAAGTCCGGCAGTCCTTCATCGCTCACAGAAGAATCCCAGCCTCTTAGAAGAAAAACCATGAGTTTCTTCAGAATAACTTGTGAAAGAGAACCGAGCGCGGCTGAAAAAAGTTAAGAAGTCCACATGACTGGTCTCCCAAAAACTGGTGGCCGACGGCTTACCATAGCTGATCTTTGAAACTGCCGAAGTCATATGTCAGGTCCATAACTATCATACATTGAACATTGACTTATAACCTTTGACGAACGTCGAACGCTTGTGATTACATCGAATTTATTTTATGAACTGTTTATACCCTTACTTAAATCTCTCGATGCCAGTCTCATCCACTTGCCAGGGAGTAGTGTTGCCGAACCCATTACTATTACTGACAGTATACCGCACAGAGAACTGACACTTGATAGGCTATCTGAATGTAGTAAATTCTGCCGCAGCTAGAGATGGTGAATGGCCCACTCGTCTGAGAGCCAACAATTTCCACTCGACAGTTGCCTATTCCCAGCTCAGACAAAACGAACGATATATCACTACTAAACCCTGCTTTTAAATATCATAGAATAAACCCTCACTTGAATTCTTTTGAGCAATCATGAATTTGTAAGCAGGTAAGACTGCAGAAATAATTACACAGAGGAAGTGAACTCTTTGGAAAAACCTCGGCTTTGAAGAGAGACTCCACAACCAAGACAAATTACGCTCTTATATGCAGCGACGAGTGGGCAAATTGTAGCCTACTTGAGCTAAAGACCAAAGATGAAGTTCGTGGAAAAAAATGCTCGAACAGTCGAGCATTTCCTTCTCGATTTCTAGGTCTTCCTAACTTCTTTAAAGTTTGTGGAACTCCAAGAACAAAATCTACCGTTCTCTAAGGTTGGAGTGAGCATGATCCAGAACGTAGGCACGCAAACATCAACTACAAAACATTCATACAGGCTAGTGATTCAAAGAACCCAGGGTTTCACCTCTCACCTGTTGACTCGAAATTTCTTTATCACCACGAAAAACGTAAGCTTTAGGACAATCGGGGTAGCCTAGCTCATGTACATGCACCATGCTCCCGTATGAGACCAGTCCAACGAGAGCAGTCTCTGGCATAAGGCCAAGTATCTGGGAAATGGCACTTTTTAGCGCCTGTAAATCTTCGGCACCCATGCAAGTATCGAGCACAAACAAGAACCCCGGTCCTCCAGCTTGGCCAGGAACGCCAGAGCCCGGAGCACCACCTAAGCCTGGACTTTGATTATAGATTGAAGAAGGGCTAGTGAGGCCAGTTGTGGACGGTTGAGTGACAGCATACTCCACAGTACTGCATTGAGAGAAAAGTTCAGCCGGCATGTTCCGATCGCTAATTTCATGATAACTTGCCGGGAAGTGGTTGCGCTGGTAGCAAAAAGGACAAACCCATATTTTAGCCTGATAATCCACTCTGCAGTAGGGGTTCAGGACGGCCCTGCATCCCTTGCATAGCAATGGATCGTAGGGCAAGAGATGTAGACCCTCCAATGGATGCAAAGGTGTGCACATCACCCCGAATGGCACCACCAGCCGGGTCGCCTCGAGGCGAGAGCTGGGCCAGGCATTCCAGGCCAATCGAAGGCCCTCCGTTTGCTCTATCTCGTTAAAATCCATTGTCAATTCAGAAAGAAGGATCAAAATTCTCCCTCTCGCCCCTCACAGGGGGGGGGAGTTCACGCCTTGGATCTACTAGCTTGAAGGCCAATTTCCTTCCTTTCTATTCTTTCCTTCGCTGTTGCTCTGAACGTCTGTTCCGCCCGCACTACTCGACAATCCACAAATGAGCACCCCGACCAAATTATTGCTTCAATCTTCAGGTCTCGGGATCACTGTCCTCCGTTCGCCTGCAAGTCCTGGCGCAGAATCAAACCCAGGCGAGGCGGATTCCACCGCCACCCGAGCCCTTCGGCTAGTTTAAAAATGAAATCTGCGATTGACCTGGCCCACCGAAAATCGAGGAGGAGGAGGAGGAGAAGAAGAAGAAGAAGACGATCGGCCGCTCACTCACTATTGATCGATCGTCGATCAATTCACAATCGGCGCAGACAGCGACACCAGCAGCAGGAGCAAGCCCGAGCTCGCCACAAACACTCCTAGCGTCCTCGGCCTCCACTCGCTGGATCCATCATTCCACTCCAAATCGTTAACGCAGCGAGCCTGCCTGCCTGCCTGCCTGCCTTGCTCGGAGTCGTGTCCTGGGGACGTCTGTCCTCGGTCCACCTCGAGCACTGCCCACGCAACCAAAACCCAACCGAGGCCACGTCGGCTCGGCCTGACCGGTGATGATTCTTCACAGCAGCCGCGGCAGTAGCAGTCCTGCTCCTCTCGTGGAACGGCCCCTTCTTCTGAACCCAAAGCGTCCCGTCCCGTCCCGTCCCGTCCTCGCTCTCCGTCCTCTGGCCTACGTCCGCTGAGTCCGCCCAGCTCTGATCTGCTCGGCACAGTCCCGTGCCAGCGGCGCCTCGAGTCTCGGCTTCGGGCTCAAGCCAGCGCCCGCCCGCCTGTCGTCCATCTGTCCCTCGGATCCTCGTTATAAAACCAATTCCTTCGCGTTCTGGACTCTTCTTCTCTCTTCTCTTCTTGTCTCGTCCTTTTCCCCGTGCACGCACTATTCCCGACCCCAACCCGAGTCGCGCTCGATTCCGTCTGGAGTTACGTCTGGCGCCATGTCCGCTTCCTTCTTTCGGATCCGTGTAATATATTTTACGGGCTTGCGCTTGAAGTTAGGAGTCCGCCTCCTTTTCCGACTTTTGGTGAGAGAAAAACAAAAGCGAGCGAGCGATGGATGCTTCAGAATCGAATTCCTGCTCACGTCCTTTGCTGGTCAGACGATCTGACGGGAAAAAGCCGATGATGAAACCGGGCTTTCTTTTCTAGGGCGAAAGCTAGCTCAGTGGGGTTTATGCGAGTTGAGCTCGTCAGGCCAAAAAGTCATTGAGCTTCTGTGATTTCCCAGGATCTTTGATAGCCCGAACGAGTCTGGGATGTCTTCCGTAACGAGATGATGGACCTCTTGCTGTGGATGTGACGCGAGTTCTGCAACTTTGACAAATGAGTCTACCTTGGCTTCGTCACTAGCGCCTAGTTTAAGTACACTGACTGAATGGCTAGCATGTTCCTGACCAGGACTACCGCCTTGTACAATGCGGAACCGTGAATACAGGATTTCAACCGAATTATTGACGTATAAAGCTGGTCGAAGTCACATCAAATGGAGGAGACGACCCACGTCGAACAAAACGGGTCAGAGGACGTTCTTGCAGCGTATTTGCTGTATTCCCTATGGACCGTGCCAGGTCTCGCCATTTCCGACAGAAATGAAGAGTGGGGGCTAAAACAATAGAGCTTCACTTAATAAAATCTTCAAAGTCCAAGAAACTTTCTATTCACTGGGCATCGAAAGTCTTGCTATAGGACATGATTCATGTCCAATAGCATGCTTCATGTCACATGAAGCATGCTGATTCCGCTGAACTTGGCAATATTTGTACAAGTCATTGGTTCCTGACTGAGACAGGAAACAAGAGGAATTAATGCGAGGCACAATCTTTAAACCGCAAGTACATTCATTCTTATTCATAAAGTTTGCACGCTTCTGTGACCTGGTTGAGTATCGGAGGGGAAATTCTGTAGACTCGATATGCACTAAAGTCGTGTAGCCTGGTGATGTCGATAGTGCAAAATACGTTTTTAAACTTAAGGATATTATTATTTGAGGATTTCATGACTGCATGTCCGTTGATTGAGAATAAAACATGTACTTACTCTGATAAAACATGAAGTCTCTTCTTTTTCTTCTTGCATTTATCTGTTTCTGCAGGCCACTGGGCCACCCCAAATCGATTTCTCCAATACGCATGTCGTCAATGTGTGGCAGTAGTCTATTTTTGGTCTTACGCCGTTCTGTACATGATCACGAGGCGAATAATGAACATGGTTCGTCTCCATGGATATCCGATTTTTTTCCAACTTCAGAGGGTTTCAAATGTGGAAAGTTTACTCGTCTCTAAGATCTAATAGATACTGATTCTTCTCATGTCCACTCGTGTACGTTGGGGACTTTTGAGCACCGGTCCACAAGGGAAGGGTATCAGAATTCTCAAGAGCATGATGATTCAAACACACCATGAATTTTTCAGTGCACAACAGCCTTGGACAATGATGACGAAAACAGCAAACCGTCTCAGCACTGCTGAGACGGTTTGCGGAGACTCTTTTTTCCATGACTGCTGAGTCAGCAGTCATGGAAAAAAGGGTCTCCGTATAGCCGAGTGTTTGCATGGTGCGCAAGCTACAACAACTAAGTATCATTATGCAACTATGGTAGCACTAGATTTCCTATTAGCCACATGTTCCTTAAGGCACCCATTTCTTTAGATGGGTGTTGCCCGTGTGTTGTGCAATTTTCAGAGTACCCAGTCGCAAATCTTTACCTTCAAACTGTTGTCATGCTACTTGGTGTTTGCTCAACTAGAAGCAATTTACAAGCATTAAATTAAAAATCGAACTAAAATGCAACAAATTAGTGTGATCCGAAATCAATTTTAAGTGTTTACTGCAGAGAAGTTGCATGGGAATCATGGTGTCCGTCTTTGAGGGATACTCACAGCAGCTTCCTGGTCCAAGGACACGATGACCTACCAGAACTAATTCTCGGGCATGATCAATAGTTTCAAGTAAGTTGCAAGAAGAATAGCAAAAAGGATGGGAGGACCTCAGAAACCATATTACTTGGAAACCGCAGAAAGTAATACGCCAAGTCAATACTGCAAGCCGTACATTTTCCGAGCTGTCCGACGAATGAACATGAAAGCGGACATGTCGGACGTCGAAATTGGTTGTTCGCTTTCCTCTAGTCGCAGAACTTCGGTCCATCAGCCTATGCATTCATGTATCATCTACCATCTCACTCTTGCTAAAATCAGTGAGAGGCAAATCATGCTGAAACGTAGACTACATGTACATGACTTCGATGTGCTGGGCACTCAAGGCAAAGGGAGGACAGGGAAAAGTCGAATATTCACGTGATGGAGACGGTGGCGTGGTTCCTTCCGTGCGAAAGCAAAAGCGGCACAGTAGTGATGACTGTCAATGCGAAATTTGAAGGTGGGACCGGCCTAGTCTTGCGGTAATAGTTCAACTACGAGCACAAGATGCCCGCACCAAAACGACGTGGCCGAAGCTTCCCCCTGAAGACAAGTGCCTGTTTCAAAGAATGCGAAAGGCCCAACGCCTGTGAGAGTATATGGCAGACATCTGCTGCACATCAGAACTTGCAGGTGCCTGCCTGCATTGGTCACACTCCCCCGACTCTAGGAATTATGAACTCTCGGAAAGTTTGAATTTTTTGGGTTAACCTGAAATTGCGAAAAGGGGGAGCACGACTGTGAATAGGGGGAAGATCTCTCACAATCAACCTCATGACATTCCCGTCTGAGGATCTGATAAACGGATGGCTCGTATGCTGCGTGTTTCACAAGCCGAAGCCGATTTTCTGAAAGTTGAACTTGTGATTCCCTCTTCGACGAGAGGTCGCAGTCTTGGATTTCGTCGATTTTACTGTTTGAGGGGAAAGATGAGGGAGTCGGAATTCAATAGTATTACTTCTTCTTCTGTCTAAGGCGAATCTTTTTGGCTTCGAGGGAAGCTGAAATTTCGAATTATCGTGTTTGTTTTGAAAATGGCGTCATCCGGGAAAGCGACTGAGATGTCTTCTCTGTCGACGCCACGGCGCATGTTCAGCCTGCGCATAGTCAATTTGGATTTCTATATGGCTCCCCCTTTACCCGGCATAGACGTTTGCTACTCTGAGTTCCAAGGTGAGAAGTGATGCAGAGCTCTTTTGAAGTTGAAGTTGTATTTTGTAAAATAATTGCATTAGTATGGACTCTGGATTTTTGAATAAGAAGTTCGATCAGTCGAAGGTTATCTTCTAAATCATAACTTCTCACAAAGATTTGTGCCTGTCAAGCGACTTCAGGCCACGGTATACGGGAGGTTCCTGTGGTCCGAATTTTCGGTAGCACAACTTCTGGGCAGAGTACTTGTTTGCATCTGCACAAGGTTCCTTCTCTTTGCCTCTCCAATTACCAGTCATACAGCTAATGAAGGATGAGTGAGGAGTATTTTTCAGTCACATAAGATCCACAACTCCCTGCCCTCACAACTTCTCTGTTAGTTTTGTGCTCGAGTCCACTCATAGTCTTGAGTTCTCCAATTATAATCGATGGTGGTACTCACCGTGCAGTCTTTGTACATTTCTGGAAAAAGTTTTTTTCCATAGTCGACTTTGAAACCCTTTCCTGAGCCGAAAGAGCCGAAATTTTCTGAATTAAATGTATTTGCAAAGTTCAAACCGAGCGATGTATGTGTTGAAGGTGGAATATTTTTCATTGCAGGCATTTCCTTATTTTTACGTGCCTTACGACAGTGAACTTCCGCAAGAAGTGAATGAAGGTTTGTTGGAGTTCAAAGTCAAGTAGTTTAAATCGCATATTGTTTTCCAGAAAAAAAGCAACTGTTTTCTCTAGTTGTGACTGAACTTCAACTGGATCAATACTGAATCGGAGAATTTGATCATTATTGTCTTCAGCTTTGTCATTTGTTCGCCGTTTGGCATCATCCATTGAAAAGGCGATGAAGGTACGTATCTTCTTATTATCCTCGGAAAATTTAGTGAAAGTACATACTAGTCATTAGTAGGTAAGACTGTGAGCGGGTATGTATCCTGAAGAACTCCTTTAGACGGATAAGGAGTCTAATCAGCACAGGCAGTGCCTTTTCCACGTGACTTAGACTAGAGGCAATCGTTCATTTGATCCTTTACTTCACACCAAGCGTGTCCAGTTGACATGAGTAGAGTTTTGGGCCATAACGACGTTGTCATGGAAAGCAGATATCGAGTTCTGTGGGTGCAAAACGACAGCATCTTCACAGCTGCAGCCTGGTGCGAGGAAAGAAGTTTTATGGATATCATCCCAATGAGCAACTATTTATCAAGATTGTGCTGTATCCTCATTCTGATATTCCGAAGTAAGGGTCGTAGCAGTAGGTAAAGTATCGGTCAGGTTTTTTTCTTAGCCGAGTACATCTACGCTGGTCTTTCACCTCAATTCACCTTTACAGATATTATCCGCAAGAGGTATCTCGAGTAAGCACATTGCTTTTGGTGAGTCCAAATTTCTTTCTTTTCTTTTAGTTCTAGTGACTCTTTATGAGAGCAACTTGTGGCCTCGCTGCGTCCACTGAGGCATAATTGAAGGGCTTATATGGAGGAAGTTGGAGCGGATTACTGTCTACTCTGATTCTATCTCTTTATTTTGATTGCCTTTATTGTTCGTAGCTAATAATACGGCCTTCTCGTAGAGCAGAGTGGTGGACTCATGAACCACAAGTTTCAGCCCCACGAAGCTCATTTTCCATATTTGCTGCAAATTTTGGTAATCTCTTTTGTACCCCGCAAATTATCGTTTATTTTGTTTGACTTAATGCTCTTCTAGTAGAAAAAGTTGGAAGCTTGTGCAAGCCTGTGCGTCTTCCAAAGTAGCATCGATTTTTTAATAAATGTATGAAGGAGTTCTCTTTTTGTATATCTTTGATCTATTGGTCGATGTTGAATTTGCCTCTTTATTTTATTTCCTTCAATACTTGAATTGTCCCAACTAGTTACAAAGCCCTGCCAAAGGCTCAGGGTCTACGATCTTAATCAGGTAATAATTGACCAGCTTAGGTGGCCTTTATGGATATATTTTTTACTCGAATTGCTCAATATTAGCAGACTATGATAGAGGTCCCAGTGCGACAATGGTAAATGAAGCAGTTTAAGCTGTCTTGTATTCTTCTTATGAAAGTTTGGGATGTCTTAAATACGTCCTGGACTGCAGATCGATCACAATCTGTGCGGGATGGGTCATCTACATTTATCCAGTTTGAAGTTTCGCAATCCGCTCCCAGAAATCCCCTCAGATCTGATTTCTTCGATAAAGCGTGTCAAAATGGACTTCACTTACCGGGAGGCGATTCCTCCAGTTGAGACATCTGCTGTGGATCCTGCAGAGGATTATTCTTCTCTAAAAGAAGGTTTGGAAAAGGAGAAGGCTCTGTCAATATTTCCACAGCCAATGAAAGAAGATACACTGAGCACACTTCCTGCCTTCAGGTCATCTTCTCTCGCTGTCAATCCAGCGACAATAAAAGTGGACTCTTTGGGCACACTTCCTGGTTCCAATCCTTCTTCTCCAGTTATTTATTTGAGGTCGGTGAAAGAGGAGACGTCCAGCGCGCCTCCTGGCTCCAAGTCATCTTCTCCTGCTGTTTGGCAAGTTAAAGACGAGGCATTCAGCGTCCTGCCTCATGTGAAGTTATCTTCCCCCATTATCAATCATATGATGACGAAGGACGATATACTGAGCCCACTGCATGGTTCCAAGTCATCGCCTCCAACCGCTCACCTAACAACTCTCGCTGTAGGAAGCCAGTTAGAAATATGGGTACAGAATAGTATCCCTCGAGACTGGATTTGGCCTTTAATTGCATCAGACAACATGCACACTGAAATTCAAGGGCAAGGACTATATTCTAAGCAGAGCACGTGTGAGCTCGAAGCTGATGCATGTGTTGAAGGTAACGTGCTGATTTCGTACATTTTGCACGAATTCTTTACTTTTTTTATAGGTACAGCAAGACTCACGTTTCTCTGTTGATTGAACTGCAGACATACTCAATAGAAGTGAACTTCTTTTCCTGCCTCTACAACAAGCAGGGCCGGAGATAAAGATGGTCCAATCACTGACGCCTATGTGGGAGGTGAGGTCGGGCCTACTGAAGCTGAATCATGCAAGGAATACTACTGGTTATTATTGAATTTCTGTCTAAGTCTGGATGCCTTTGCAATAATTTCGGTTAAGTCCAGCCACAGTTGTGCAAATCACATATTTTGGGCTTACTTGAGTTGTTATAAGTTATTCCAATTTCACTTAGTAATATACTACGATACATGGGACAGCACTTGGAACCAGTCGAGAAATCTTACAGTTTTATGGCCTTAAGAAAGAAGCTTTCTCCTCGTTCAGAAGGTAGCTGTGAAGGAGCACTTGACCACTGCAGAGAATAGGTTATGCCATCTTTGAATATTACAGTGCTACTTTTCTGAATGAAATTTCGACATGGGCGTTTATCGTGCAGGAAGAACGAGCTAGGAGTGGAGAAAGCGGGCCAGCAGGATCAGTAGATCCTCTATACCAACCCACAGCTCGCACTTCTCCCATCCCATCTCCCTTTGAGCAGGCGATGCGGGAGACCCTGTACCAAATCGCCCAGGCAGAAGAAGCGGAGATTGGTGCAAAAAATGATTCACGAAGTGGTTCTCCACAATCTGACTTAGGATCTGGAACCCAATCATTTGTAGAAATTTCTACACTGCTGGGCTCGCAGCAGGAACTGAAGGTTTCACTTGGATCAGCTGATAGTGATGCTCTTCATTCCGACGAAGATGAACCTGACGAAAGGCAGCGGTCTTCAGTACCATTGGAACCTGAATCTAAAGCGCGTCCATCAGAGTCAACACAAACTGGGCTTGAGTTGACAAGTATTTTTTCGCCACATGGTGAAGGTCCATCCACTGCCCGCGCTCATGTGGGCAAAAGTTTTGGGAGTTCAAGGAGAAACCAGTTGAAAAGTTCCAGTATGGATGCGGCGAAGGATGGAGGAAGTTATGCCATTAACGAGGAAATTATAAAGAAACAACTCTCTCAAAGATGCACGTCGCAGGTTCTGTAACTGGTCCTTGAACCAAAGAAACGTTGATGGCCGTATCGCTGTGGCATGGTTTGCAGTTTTTGTCACTAATCAGATTAGTAGGCAGTGAAGTTCTGTCCTAGGCTGAACTTAATCGATGACGGTTGTTAATTGCAGGACCTCGACAAGGAAGTTGCAGAGTTTTTACGGTGGATGGGCAGTAGTCAACTGGACTTCAATGATCAGGAGGATGGACATCCCGATGATAAAGATGGTCAAATTGCTCAGATGGGCCTTAGTCAGATGTTCAGCTCACCAGGTATGGATGAAGCATTACTGAAGGCTCTGGCTGAATACGAAAATGCGACAGAAGAAGAATGTCAGGCCATCTTAGACTGCGCCAATATGATGGACGAAGAAGATCAAGATTTAGCCGACTACCAGGAAAATTTGTTTACACATGTTCGCGCTCAAGAGGAAGGAGACAAAAGTGAGAAAGCTTTTACGGCTCCTCTTAATAGAAATCGACCTTCCGATTCAATAAGGGAGAGTGGGCGGGAAGGTGCTCCACCTTTCATACCACAGACGGATGGGGCTGGTGATGAAGATGACATAGCAGATGAGGGAGATCAACATTTGCAATCTGTCTTCTCGAAAAGGCCAAGGTTTGATAAACAGGATGCATCTGTATCTAGGCAGAAGCATACTAGATTGACGAGGGGGAACCAGAGTCTGAGTAAAGAACAAAATACAGAAGTTTCTTTGCGAGACATGATGCGGAAACGGCGAGAGCGAAAACCTGGTAGGAAAGAGTTGTGGTCTCCATCTTCATCGATTCTAGAGGATGTTTCGTCTGAGGTGGGGCCGCTAGATTCGAGTGATAGCACTAGAAAACGACCGAGTATTGTTCAAAAGCGCCCAAGGGACACTGTTTTGCAGGATCAATCGATGCTGGTTTCTCTCATGGAAGACTCGCCACAGAGTAATAGCATTTTAGAATCCACTTCCAGAGGAACATCAGTAAATAAATATTCAACTGCCAAAAGAATTGGCAAAGTAATCAGCAAGTCAGATTATGCGAACCAGTTGCTCACATCTAGATATGGTACTCTACCGATTGTTACACTGAAATATGACAGTGCTGATGTTAACTGTCCCTCTAAAGAATTACTGGAGAAAGATTCAGAAGCTTGTAGAAACAGTTCCAGAGAGCATCAGGGAACTTCTGAACATAAAAGTAGTCTTCAGCTTCTACCTGAAGGCTCATCACAGACTTCTCTCAGACATTATTTTGTGGCTACGGAGGTTGCTGGCGATGAGAATACCGGAATGCAGAGCAGAGGAGACGATCGTGATTGTGGAGGAGGTTCGAGGTATTTCTGCTTGGATCAGGCGTCTCATAAGGAGGACTCTTCTGATAGCCTATTGAATGCCCATGGCTGTGACACACTTCAAGTCAGAGAATCGCATGAGGCTGATGTACAGTTAAGAAAGGTAGAATCTTTTCCTGAGGTTGAGTCACCAGAAGAAGATGACTACTTTGTGGCACAGACTCAGTTTTTAAACATAGCTGTACCTCAATCTCCCCAGATTAGTGAACTACATACTGGTCATCATGTTGATGATGTCAATGTCTCATCTCAGGATGCAGAAGCTTTGATGCTGTCTCAAACCCCAATGCTAGCTTTCCCGGTACTCACTTCTCAAAATCGCAGGAAGTACCTTGAGAATAGAGATGGTATGAGAGTGCGAGATGAAGCCTACGTGGATCCTGATTTGGTCAAGAAAGCTCAAGTCGTGAAGCCCGATGTCTCTTGTATGGTTGAAGTACGTCCAGTGGAGTTTGAGAGTAGAGATAATTTAGAACTCGAAGTTCGAGAAAGTGATGGTCTTCATGTAGAACAGACACAGATTCTGAGCCCGTTCATTCCTTTCTTGGATAGCCGAGAACCAAGAATTCCAGACGACCACATTGTGGACAATGACGGATTCGGCATAGGAGACGAGGATGAAGAACTTGCAGGTCAGACCCAGATTTTAGAGCTTGAAAACACTCATGGTGCTTCTCGAAGAACGCTAACTGAGATTGTAGAGTGTGATGTAGCTGATATGGAGGATGAAGCTGTGAACCAGACTCAGGTCGTGAACCCTGAGATACCTCTAAATAACAGTGCACACAGGTGCGAGCCCGGAGTTTTTCTGGAGGAAGGGAGAGACTGTGACATTGTCGACGAGGATGCAGAATTTGGGACTCCAACTCACGTGCTGGAGGGTTGCTCTCCCCAAGATCCTGATTCAGGTCCTAAGGAATCCTACAAGTATGCGGAGGAAATGGACGACGAATATGGACCTGACGATGAATTTCACAGACAATCTCAAAAGTTAAAACTGGACATTTCTTCGGCAGCTGAGATTCATTTACTTGACACAGGTGATGATTTAGAACAAATGAAAGGAGGCGATCGTCTTCAGGAAGGGAGTGAGACTCGTTCCAAGACGCAACTTCTAATACCAAAAAAGGTTCTTCCTTCAGTACCTTTTTGTCGAACCACTTTAGAAGTATCGACAAGTGGAAGTCCGGGTGACTTTCTTAAGCCAGAGATACCGAAGGTTATGGGAGTGGAGATGATATCCAGTCTGCAAAGTGGTTTGCCTGCGAAGATTCTCAGGAATCCTCAAGAAACAGACATACCATCATTTTTTCCTGGCGGAAAATCAGATTGCTTAGTAAGAGACGCTGAAATTCCAGCAGGTGGTGTAAAATCCTTGGAAGGGCGAAATTGTGACCAAACAATTCCTACTCAATACCTCTTTTGTGATATTTCAGACGACAGCGAGGCAAGCTATGACTCCGAACAGGAGAGATGGTCTAACGATGGAGGAGCAAGTACAACAGCCTTTTTTGACCAGAAAGAGATTGCAGAACTGGGCAGCCCTTCTTGTGCAGATGATCACGTAAAGGAAAGGTGGTTGACAACGGGCAGAGAGATTGGATCTAGCGGTGCAGCTGCTCTTGAAGATAACCAGGATCTGATTACAGGAAAAGCGGCCAGGACAGCTAGTGAAGAAACACCTAGAAGAATGATTGATCCTAACAGGTTGGACCAGGCTACTGGCCATGCTTACGTAACAGTTTCACCCTCCCGTTCTGAAGCTGATGAGAAAGGTCAAGGTGTTGAAGGAATTAGGGGACGATTTACTGTAGAAGGAGATGCAGAAGAATATGTTGGTCCAAACACTGTAGGGATGCATTCCACTCAATACCTTTTCACTGATATGTCAGATGATAGTGACGCAAGCTACGACTCAGGACGAGATGGACGAGAAAGAGACTCTTCTTGGAATGCAGCGGAAGAGTTCTTTGCAGATGAGGAGAAAGATGTAGGAACAAGTCTCCTCGTCGCAGAGGAGGGACTATTCTCTGGCTCGCATACCGAAAGAGAATCAGGTCTAACGGCGTTTGACCATGAAGAGGATCGTCGCATGGCTGAGGCGAGTCACCATGGCACTGCAGTGCATGTGCCTTTTTCTGTAAATGTAATAGTTGGGAAAGAAAGGCAAAACTCTGATCTCGTTCTTCTAGAGAACTTTCACAGTAAGCCTGGTACTGAAGTCTCGCATCCCATCTGTTCATCCACAAAATATTCAAACTCTTTGGAAATTGGAGTTCTGAAGACTTCTTTGTTGACTAGTGGGGGTTTGGAACCCCAAACTACAAGTCCTCTGCGGGCCTCTGGGTTATCATCTGTTTCTCCACATTTTTTTTCGGGAACTTCTTCTGGCTCTACAACTTGCGGTGTCTGCTATGGTCCCGAGGAGGATGTCAAATCGTTGGCTGTATCAGGCCTGAAGTTGGTAGAAGAAGAGGACAGACCAGTCATGATGAACGAAAAGGATCGGCACCTTTCTACCGAAAGTTGTCTCCATGCGTCTATGAATCGTGGTATTATGGGTGCCATCATGGACACAAAACATGTCCAACTCGATGTACAGAGTCACCCTGAGGCGCCTGAGTACACGGATTGGAAATCAGCATTAGCTCTAGTGCCCTTTCCAAAGAATCTTGACGAGCAGCAACTTATTCCTTTAATCTTTCATCAGCGACCTCCAACCAAAGAGCAGGTTTTAGAAACCTCCAAAGAGTTTTTCTGCCATCACAAAGAAGATGATGTCTTTTATGGAAATATAAAAGATGTTTCTGATCATCCCGTGGTCCGAGCAGGTTTGGTATTTGATGGTGCGTATTAGAAACCAATCTCATACAATGGTTGAAGAGAGAAGCGAAGTCTTCTCATTTCTTACTTCTTACTTGTTCGTAAGAAAGTGAGTTTGCCTGAGTTGTTCCAATTCGGTTTATGTCAATTCAATATGGCCACGTCGATGGCGTAATCTTTCAGCTTTTAGGGTCGTATCACTTTTGTTATTTCTTGTAAAATCTCTTTTCTCTTAGCTGATCAAACTCTCGGTGATATATTTTTATTCCAGTGAGGTCAAGAGAGGCTGTTCACTTGAGGCGTTTTCAGTTTGGGAGATCAAGTAGGAGAAGCAACTTTGACGAGGGTTCAAAGAATCGTGTGTACATACAGCAAGAAGGTTGGGGACGTGAAGATTTCTCGGGTCCTATCGCTGGAATACCCAAGTATATTGAGAATGATGGGACGTTGTTTTATCTTATCACCCTGGCCAAGGCCCCACCCTCACCTAGATCTGTCAAGCAGTGGCTGTCCCTGCAATCTGTACAACGACTGGACATTTCGAAGGGCATTGTTGCAGGAGGGCAGCAGCTATTCACCATGGACTCGAATACAGGCAAACTTGTACCTTTAGTAGAAATAGGTAGTGCAGCTAACAGTCAGGAATCGGTTCCGAAGACGGAATGCTCAGAAGAGGATGGAGAATTTGTACGACCAGCCTCTCCAAAATATGATGAACGACATGTCTTCTATTTGACGCATTCTTCATCGATGTTACCATCTTCGCACGGTTTCTCTCAAAGGAGGCCAAATGCCCTGAAGTATGGCGATCATTCTGGCACTTCTTCTCTGCATAATCCGTCCGAGGAAGGAAAAGATAAATTTGATAGACTGCCACCTTTGGCACCCTGTACTGCTCAAACATCAGAACAGAAGTCATTAGCTATGGCCGAAAGAACCACAAGGGAGGACTTGTCGTTGAAGAAATCAAGCGTCGCAAAGCCAGTTGACTCAGGAGTCAGGGCATTGCTTAACAGAAAGCTAAACATAGACGTCACTACAAGAGCAAGAGGGAAGCACTGGCGTGATATTTCACAGATGACTGCTTTTTCTCCAGCTGCGGAAACACCTTTAAGTCAGTCTGGATTTCGTGACCCTGCGAGTTCAGGTCTTGGTCAGCAGATTACTTTGATGAGCGTCGAAGTAAATTCTACTCTCCTCCTTCCAGATAGTTAAAATGTGTGCATCTTAATAAATTACTACTGCGAGCAAGGAATCATAAGTTGGGTTGATTCGGTTAGCACTTTTTTTTCCTCCGTTGTCTTTGTAGACTCTATCTAGTTTAGATATTTAAGATTGTGGTGAGATATGTTTTAGTCTTCCCCTCGGTTTTGCTATGATACTTTGATATATTATAGCCTGTTGTTTGAAAGTATATTGAATCGAAATGATGTTGTAGATAGCGAATTACATCTCCATTCTCTAGTAACCCTCTCATTTGTTCATATTCCCACTTTATCTCATCGTGCATCTACTCACACCCTCCCTCACGACTACCATTTCTCAGCCAGGCGGCTGGCTTTATAATCTTCTAGCAGTTAAGGCAAAAAGGACTGCAGCTCGTGAAGTACTTCGCGGCAGCATAGAAAATGTCGCATCTAATATGATGGCCTCTTTGCGAAGACTATACTTACTTTTCAGAAGAAAGTACAGATTCCGCCTTGAACGTTAACATGATTGATGTATCATGTGCTGTCTCGTAGGCATTTGCCGAGACCCGCGGAGAGTTGCTTCCTGACCCGCGTTATGACGCAATTGGCTGTATTGTCCTGGTTCTCCACGAAGATTGTGGTAGAACAGGCAGTACGACCACAACCGTGGCCCTTGTTCGTGACGAGGAAGCTTATTCCACCAGACGGTATGGTCCTCTAGCATGTCACGCAAGAAAGTTTTTTCTTATGTATGTATGTCTCCACTGCCGCTGAATATGGTTCTCCTTTTGTGTGACTTTTGAGTGCTGAATGCAGGTATCCAGATGGCATTCAGGGCTGCGAAATGATATATTTACCCAATGAGAAAACCCTTTTCAAATGCTTTGCCCATTTGGTACGACTATGTGATCCTGATATGCTCATTGGTTGGGAGGTTCAAGGATTTTCATTGGGATTATTGGCGGAGAGAGCGGCTAATTTGGGAATAAGTCTGTTGAAACAGCTCTCCCGTATACCACCAAAGTCCACTGCTGCTTCAGAGCTTCTTGATAAAGAAGTGGGTACTGAAGATCAAGCTGAAGCAGCGTTCTTCGATAGAGTGCCCGTAGAGACAGTAGGTGCTGATGAGCCAATCATCGACGACGAATGGGGTCGAACTCATGGAAGCGGACTGTACATCGGTGGTCGAACAGTTCTCAATGCCTGGCGGATTATGAGAGGAGAGGTTAAACTTAATATATACTCTATTGAAGCGGTTGCTGAAGCTGTGTTGAGAAGGAGAGTGCCGCGACTACCTTGGCAAACTCTTACACGATGTTTCACGCGTGGACCTTCTGGAGGACGTCACCATTGCATCCAATATTTTATCGACCGGGCAAGATTAACTCTGGAGATTATGGAACAGCTTGATTTGGTACGTTTGTGAGAGATTTTCCGCATTACTGAATCCATTTCTTGATGGATATGGTTTTTGTTACTATCAAACTCTTCATACTTTCTTAGTTTTCGTGCCGAGAGAGAGTCGATTATCTAGCATGCTTTATCGTAAGTTTGAATACTCACTATGGAAGTACGTAGTGAAGCCACGCGTTTCCAGTCCCGTGTTCTTCATGGAATCAATGGCTTTCACCTTAAACGTGACCTACGTTCTAACCATTAAAACTTGTAGATTAACTGGTGAAGATAACTCATGTAACTATGTTAACAGGATTCCATTTATGTCTCTCACTTACTTCATCTGTGTGTGAGTAGATGAATCGCACAGCAGAGCTCGCGCGAGTCTTTGGAATTGACTTCTATTCAGTGTTCTCTCGAGGTTCTCAATTTCGAGTGGAATCTATGATGGCAAGACTTGCACATACTCAGAATTATCTGCTTGTATCTCCTACAAGGCAGCAGGTTAGAAGAGTTTTCGAAACCAGGGTTAATTTCTTATGTTATTTTACTATGGTATCGTTTAGAGCTTAGATCTTTGGTCTAACCGTCATCTGACTGCGACCATAATTGCTGATCATGAGGAATCTAGTCTGAATATAAAAGTCCTTAGTCTGCGGTGTTGACTTTCTGTTTAAGCACATATCTATTTCAGCACATAAGCATGAATAAATCAAACGTAACTGAGTAGCTTTCGTCCCACATATTCCAGGTCAACCACCCAATCACCAACTCATCCTTCAACTTTCACACATCATGCATGGCAACGATCTGACTTGAACAGCAGTGCCCATATAGATGGTGATCACATGTCAAGTGGGAATGTGTAGGCATATATATTACCATGTACTATTTGACTTGAATGCTCACGTATCCGCTTGTTATCATTGTAGTGTTGGAAAGGGCTGATTGTCAAGTTTGTTTTTTCTACAGGTTGCTGATCAACCTGGTATGCAGTGCCTTCCTTTGGTTATGGAGCCGGAGTCAAGGTTTTACAATAGCCCTGTAATTGTCCTAGACTTCCAATCTCTGTACCCATCGATGATAATTGCATACAACCTGTGCTTCTCCACATGTTTGGGAAAACTTTCTGCAGACAACCCGAAGGTTCTTGGTGTGACCAAGCTAAAGCTGGATCCAGGAAGCTTATCAAGCTTGAAGGAGGCCATGACAATTACTCCTAATGGTGTCATGTTCGCGCCTAAAGAGGTAGTTTTTAATAATTTTACATATCGAAAAGTTTTCAGAATTTTTATTCAGATGATATTATCTGGCAATTTTTATCTCTAAATTACCCACTTTTATAACTTGGTGCCCTATAGGTTCTTCCTGGTGTGCTTCCAAGGCTACTGCAAGAGATACTATCAACCAGAATAATGGTGAAAAAAGCCATGAAAAAATTGGCTCCGGATGAGCGAGTTTTAGAAAGAGTAAGAACTTGACACTCATCAGCTCTCTTCAGATGGCCTTGATGAGGTCGCCTCTCTAATATTATGCTATCGGCCCTCAGTGTAGGTTGATATCAATGAACAGCTATGTCGTGCCAATGGTACTAAGCACATTTCGAATAAAACGCAGGTTATGAACGCCAGACAGTTTGCACTGAAGTTGATTGCCAACGTGACTTATGGCTACACAGCTGCGGGCTTCAGTGGACGTATGCCATGTGCAGAGATAGCAGATAGCATCGTGCAATGTGGTCGGCTCACGCTTGAACGAGCTATCAACATGGTCAATACGCATCCTCGTTGGAATGCACGGGTTGTGTATGGCGACACAGACAGGTACCTGACTTCCATCACATCAATGACAAGACAGCGTTCATGAAAACTTCAGTTATGTTTGTATGCATGCCGCGGCTTACCCTTTTTGCGTGAGCAGTATGTTTGTTCTGTGTGAAGGTCGTACAAAGGATGAGGCCTTCAAAATTGGCCAAGAGATTGTAGCGTCGGTCACGGAGACAAACCCTCCTCCTGTAACTTTAAAGCTGGAAAAAGTCTATCTCCCTTGTGTTCTACTCACTAAGAAGCGGTACGTGGGATACAGTTATGAGAGCGCTTCTCAGGTCAAACCGATTTTTGATGCGAAGGGTATAGAAACTATCCGCCGTGATACCTGTCCAGCTGTTGCGAAAGCAGTAGAGCATTCTCTGCGCATACTCTTCGAGTCTCAAGACCTTTCCCAGGTGAATGATTCCACTGTCCTGGCTGATGTCCTTTTGGCTGATATAAACGTCAAACTATACCACTTACATAGCTTGCAGTCAATAGGTGGAGTACATATCACAGTGTCATGGATATCCAATTTCTCACTTCGTGCTTTGGCTTAGTAATTGATCTGTGCTGAGGCATATAGGATTGTCGTTCACCTTTTCCAGGTCAAGCAATACCTCCAACGACAGTGGGGGAAGATATTAAGCGGTCGTGTATCAATTCAAGATTTCGTTTTTGCCAAAGAGGTTCGTCTTGGAACTTACAGTGCTCGCTCGCCAGTTCTGCCACCGGCTGCAATTGTGGCCTCTAAGGCAATGGCGGTCGATCCAAGAGCTGAACCGCGTTATGCAGAGAGAATACCATACGTGGTTGTCCATGGAGAGCCAGGTGCACGTCTCGTGGACATGGTTGTTGATCCACTTACTTTGATTACACAGCCCTCTTTGCGCTTGCATGACACTTACTACATCACAAAACAAATCATCCCAGCATGCCAGAGAATTTTCATGCTTGTCGGTGTTGACTTGAGGGCGTGGTTCAGCGAAATGCCTAGAGTTTATCGACCTCCTACCTCCAAACGGGTCGCAAATCTGGCAATGGGCGCCAGGAGTACCCGTTGGGATCCCGATGCGAGAAAGTTGAGAAAGATGGGACACGGGCTAAGACACGGTACCATCGATCAGTACTTCCTATCACGGCACTGTACTATATGTGGAGAATTTACCCGTGCTTCTCAGCTTCTGTGCAGCGTTTGTTTTGCCAATCCCAGAGCTGCTGCAATTTTACTGCCAGGAAGAACCGCTCGTTTAGAAAAGGAGTACAAGCATCTTCAAGCTGTGAGTGCATCTTCCCTTCTGGTTTAGCGTCCCCCAACATAATATGAGAGTGGTACTCAGGTTTGGAAAGGCTAATGATGATTATACGAATCTTGGGTTGTTGTGGTGATTTCCAGATCTGCCGTCACTGCGGAGGTGGAGACGGGGGGCCTGAAGGGAACATTGCTTGCATTTCTCTTGACTGCTCTGTCTTCTTTGAACTCCGGAAAGTGCATCGAGAACTTACAGCGGCTGGGGCTGTGTCAAATGACCTGGGGTACTATCCTCCATGTCTGCCCGAGTTATTCTGAGAATAGAGTTGAAAATGAAGAGATACTACAACAGAAAAAATGTAAGATTGGCGACCGAATAGAATTAGCATTTTAACCTTTTTCTCGACACAGATTTCCCTTGTTTAGTGCAAATGTATAAACAGTTACAAAATAGTTGAAGTCTGAAAGTTAGCCATCTGCGGAAAATGTGTACGTAGTTTACATTCGGGTTGCGAAGGCAGATGACATCTGGATAAAGCATTAGAGATATTTTATCTTGAGATGGACAATCTTCTATGTAGATTGTCTATTGAAGTTATGTAAATATAGTAGTTTAGGTCAGGTCCATTGTCAATGTACAGATTGTCTGGCTGACTGTGATCCCTTTCGAAGATTAGGAAATGTTTCTCGTCCATCACGTTGAGTGGACAGTCAACGGGTCTGCCAATTTTTGTGTCTTGGAGCTACGGTTGGACATTTCTTGTGTAGTGCCAACTCGTGTCGTGACTCGTGTTTCTTCCTATGCTGTTTAGTGGCACTTTTCTGTTCTCATCATTTAAACTCCTGGAACCTTTTGACTGAATTTCACCATGTTCTCTTTGGACTTCCTCTTGAGCGTGAGGTGTTTTGTGGGAAAGGAAGATAGATTTACATGACGCAAGCGAACTCGGCATTGAAGAGCGCGGCCTACAGGCCTTCTACAGATCCTCTACAAATTCCACTCAGAAGTAATGGCACAACACCAGCAACTACTCGCCTACCTTAATATCACCTTCAGCTGCTGATGGAATAAAGTCGACTGCTTCTCCCTGTGCCCTTTCTTTACATGCTGAGTCCTATCGAGGCCTCCCCTCACCCTAGCCTTCAGCTACTGCCTCCAGAATACAGTATACCGCTTTCTGACGAGGTTCTCTCTCAAACTCCCACCTGCCTCCAGTTCCTACCAACGACGATGACCAAGCGTGATCGCGTGCAGCCTTGTATCTAATTCTTGTCGATCGTGACCTGGTAACAACTATGCCAGCGGCCTTAAAGTCAAACCGAGGACTGTTACGATCTTCCTTTTCCCAGTTTCAGTGACTGGGCTGGACAATAGAGTTGAATAGACTATAAAACATCAGTGGATAGATTCCATGTCAATCATTGCTCAGGTCCTTTTTCCAATCCCTTCGACCAGAATTGGATATGTATGTAAGTTTTCTTCCGCATAGCTCCTAGGGAACCATGCGTTTACCATTTATTCTTCTGTAACAGAAAAAAGTCCTCTCTGTAACAGAAAAAGACAACCCACAAGACGAATTGACGTGGCACATGCACACGACAGCGGTTCCTCGCTTTGCTTTGACTGTGAATTCTAGTTCACGTTACTGTTACGTGACTTTCTTCTGGCCAATTGTACTGTTTCTTCTTTCTGGCATGCGGGTAAGAGTGCCGACACCGAGTGACCCACAGGATCTTCGATTCGGAGCGCGCTAGAAGGGGCTTCGGGATTGCATTGCACTCGTCTGTGTTGTGTTTTTAACTCGTTTCTAGGTTCGGATTATATTCGTATCCAGCCTTTGACCAGTTAATTCTCCTAGGATTTTCGAACAAAAAAGACCGGGAAGTTCCATATTGGATGACACCGAAGGTGTAAGAGAGTGTTATGTACCAATAGCACCACAATAAGGAAACAAATCCTCTTTCTCTTGAGATACTTTTTAATTAACAGTGTAATTACCGGCCAGGTACACGAACAAGATATAGGATGAGTACACTAGCTACTAGGAAGGAACTACACGGGAACCAACGTAAAAAGAAGCTGCAGTTTTCTCCCAGTTTTAATAAAACAGTCATCAAACTTTGTCACGAAACTGGCATCAAATTAACATCTAAAATGTATATTCAATTATATTTTTGCCAAACGTTTCACTGTTTCTCAACTCAATTTGTATTCAAATTGATACCACTTAAATTCAAACTCTTGTGGTTTGCTGCAGATTGAAAGTGAAGCAAATATTTTGACATTGACTTAAGAGAGTCTATGTTTGACAAGTCAAGGTAGATAGAGCCTAACTAAGATATTCAAATGCAAGCGTCAATGTTTCAAATCTTAGGATCTTGGTCAGACATCCTCATAGAAGCATGGTGTAGCAATTCCACCAAGATTTACACTATGTAGTGTGCCGTCAAACTCCTACTCTATCATCGGCAAAATCTTTATGATACAAGGAGAGAAGATTGAGACCAGTGCTCAAGAGATAATACTTGTCAAAACGATGCACATCGAACTTTGTGTGAATCTTTTTGTTGTTACGGATAGCTAAGGGCTCAAATTACATTAGGGAAGTTGAAGTATGTAACAAAAGTTGTCTAGAGACAAGCTCGTGCAAAATCTAGAGTCATATGGAGCGTAGCACCGACGCGATTCTCCAAACTACTGTTTTCTAAGCTCACATACTAATGTCAACAGAAAACAAACATTTACACTTGACTATAAAACTGAGCTATATACAACTTAATCCTCTTAAATCTAGTCAATATTCACAGCAAAGAATATAGTCATCATCTTTTCAAAATGATTCTTTCAAACAAAAAAATCAACGAGTGAATAGTTAAATAATCAACATGAATGTGATAAGTTGAAGTTACAATAACATTGACACACAAAGTTAGTGTGAATTTGTGACAAAGATATACATTTTCCAACAATATCACTTCTTGAAATCCTAAGAATTTAGTTCAATTCCTTGTAAGTATGTGCATTCAACTATTATAAATAAGTTCAAATAAAGCAAATATATCACTCGACTTCATCAAATTGATCATAAATGAATTCAAATGGCAAATAAAACAAGTTTAGGCTTAAAATAATGATGTACTGAAACATATGTACTACTGCATATAAGAAATCTAAATCTTCTATGTCAAACAATCTACAAACAATATAAAATTTGTAGAAAATATTTGATTCAATAATGACCATGAAAACTAATGCTTCATCAAGAGAAAAATTTAATATCCAAAATATGCTTAAGAGAATGATAGTGATAATGTGTACTTTGATATACTAATGTGCAACTTTTCACAATTATGTCAAAGTTCATGTTCGTAGTTGCACATAGTCCCAAACAATTTCAAGTTTAGACGGCTAAGAACATGCTTTCTTTATATATTGGCATACTTTTTAGAGATCTTGATTGATATGATTATAATGTTGTTGATGCTGTTGTGGACGGAAAACTCACTCAAGATTCAAATAGCTCTTGAATCTCCAAAACTGGAAGAATTAACACTCAAAGCAAGAAAGCAAAAAGTGGTATTGAAATTGCAAGAGTACGTACAATTGTTGTTGAGTAGAATAATGAAAAATGTCTGAATTTTTTCTATTTATAATACTTGGAATCTACAGAGAGCTATAAGGACTTCCGTGATATCATCTTTCTTCAAACAACAAATTATCTTGATTTACTTTAATTATTTTATCAAAAGCAAAAACAAAAAATCTATTAAAATAAGTCCATGTAATATTCACATGGTTACATCTTGATTTGATAATGTTATTAGTACATACGTGTTCAATTTCAAAATCTTTAACCGTAAATTTTGTGGAATATTGAAGATGAAATTTTTTGATCATTTTGATAACGTTAGCAAGATAAGTAGAAGTAATTTTTTGATTTCAGTCAATTGACATCAATAAGTTTTTGTGAGTGAAAGCGACATGTTGGAGATGTACATCTTTGTTGGATTGTTAAAAGTTAATTTCCTTGATGCGTACAAGGAATTATGATCCACAAGATTAATCTTCATGTGGATCTTTGCTTAACGTAATTGCTAAATAAGTCTTGAAATAAGCTGCAATGAATATCAATTCTTGATTGTGAGCTCATTTAGTACACGATAGTATATATACATCCAAAAAGAGCCGTCTTCTTCTTGATAAATAGGTTAGGTGTTCCAACAAATAACTTGGAATGTCTTTGCAAATCAAAGTAATTTTGCAATGATGCAAGTTTGTTCTTGGAAAGATTGTAGATATGATCAAAGGGAGATTCACATCTTCTTGGAGTTAAATGTCACAATCATAAGGTCAAAGTGTATCAAAATTCTTCTATTCAAAAAAATCTCTATATTCTTTTGCTACTAAATTGGTTCTTGAACGGATTGAGATGTTGGAATTGCATAAATTAAAAACATATTTTCATTCTTGATAGTCTTCATAAAGATTCGAGCACTTAGCATTAATAGAACTTTGAGCTCAAGACTTTAGATTTAGTAAGGACAAGGATCTAAAATATTTCTAGTATTTTTAGACAAACTATGAGAAACTATGATTTAATATGTTAGTTTTTACTTATTACAATCTATATTTTAGTTTTTATCTCTGATAAAAGACAAAACTAATGATATTAAATATAATGATACTTTGTACTATTGTATTCAATGTCTAAGAATTTAGTTTTGTGAGTTAGATCTCTTGAAATCAATATCATATTGTGAATAGATTCTACTACAAGAGAGTATTCATAGAAATATCATAATATTCTACAAGAATTACATCAATAAAACAAGCAAAACTAACAAGATTTAAATTTGTATGTATGTAAATGAAAATATATTTTAAGCAAGATATCAAAAAATAATAATTTGAGTCTAGAATAGAATCTGATGACGTGACAACACTTTTCAGCATGATATCATTTTTTGACTCAATGCACTCATGTTTTGGTACAAATGCTTAAAGTATATTAAAATTTGTGTGTATTTAGTACTCAATGTTTCAAAGAAAGGTTGTTTAAGCTGTGGTACTAACCTTCATAATAAAAGTACAAGTGCTTAGTACAACATCATTTGAAATTTTTTTGAATAATTTCTTAATTTTCAAAATGTTAATTTGCTATGAGATCAAAATGTTTGAAAATATTTGACGGATTATAGCTTTGTAATCCATTTGATTTGATTGAAAGAGCAATAGTTTCTCATGTTGTTGCTGCTTGAACAATTGTTAGTTATTGCAATCAATTTCTTGAGTATTAGTTTTTGCCAAAGTAATTTGTTTGAGCAAGTTTAGCAACAATATTTTTATATTATTGCGTAGTACTCATCGGAACATATTGTTCCAATTTAGATTACATGCAAGTTGTTGAAATTTTGCAAATATGTCGAAGATGGACGTAATCATTGTTAAAGTATTTAAAGTTTTGTTGTTGCTAGAAGTTTTTGATCTCATTCTCCAAAAAATTTACAATATTTAATATTTATTGTTGCTATAAGGGTTTGATCTCATTCTCCACACTTTTTATAATATTTAAGATTTTGTTGTTGTTATAAGGTGTTGATCTCCTTCTCCAAGCGTTTTTTTGAATTCTTTCATGAATTAATAAAGGTGTACCAGAAATGAATAAGATTTATTTAATAGTAATAAAAACTAAGATAACACAATTTTGATGAGAAGTATTTCAACTTGTGTTTTTTTTGTTGAATTATTGTGTGGTTGGATAAGAAAAACAAGTTGAACTTGATTGACAAAATTTTGTACAATCTACATCAAACTTCTTTGGCAAGCTTGCTTGAAATCCTTTTGACAAATTATTTTTTTATAGAACTGGATTTGTTATAAGACCTTGAACATGGATTGAAACTCGAGCAACTTGGAGTTGTTCCATGGTATTTTGTATGCTAGCACTTTCTTAGTATAGATGTTTTTGCATGACAATCACATCGTGAATCTTGATGTTGGAAGCGTCACTCATCTTGGTAGTGTACTATGGTAAAACTATTGCCAACGGAGCTCACACAAGACTCGAAGTAACACTTGAAGCTCCAAAACTGAAAGTGGTAACCTTCGAGGGGAGAAAGTTGGAAGTAGTATCATTTGAAGCCAAAAAGTTAAAAGTATTATTAATATTGCAATAGCAAGTGCAATTGGCATTGACAAGAGTTAGGTACAATGTGCAGAGACTATCTATTTATATATATAGTGTTTCAGGAAAATTCTAAAGTTGGAAAGTTGGCAGCACTCCAAGTTGAAAAAAGTCCATACCCATACTTATGAAAATGTATCACATACAACAGCAATAACCAGGCCTTTCTAAATACGGCACATACGGAATTTGAGAGCTAAAGTTCCGTATTTCGATTTCATAAAAATTTGTATTTACAACATAAATGACTTCATTCATTTTGGAGGCGGTATTAACTAACTAAAACTGTGTTTCACTGTTTTGGACATTACTTGTCTCTACGCACAGTTACTTTTGCACACAGCACCGTAAATCACGAGAAGTCTGTTTATAGTGATTAAAAGTTTTTGAAGATTGAGGCCATGTTTCGAGGATCCATTCATAATCGGCACTGTCTACTAGCATCGAGAACCTTCTCCCTCTCTCTACTTCTTTTCACCCACTCTTCGAGAAATCTGTTCCCAAACCATATGTTTCTGCAGGTCTAACAACACGACATTGCCAAAGTAATCGACAGAGAAAGAGGAACGGGTCACATAGTAAAAAAAGTTTGATCATTCTGCAAGAACAAGACTGGGACGAAAGTAATAGGAAGAGCAAGAGTTTGAACCTTTGTTACTTTCTTTAGTACATTTTTGGGGTACATAGAGAGTGAAATCCGATAATTAAGCCGGAACAAGATAGTGCGAACATAATTGGGGTACATAGACAGTGGAATCCGATAATTAAGCCGGAACAAGATAGTGCAAACATAATTGACCGAGTGAGTGTGAAACGGTCACACAAAGAGTGAAGTACTATCATTCTACAAGAACAAGACGGGTTTGTACTTTGCTTAGTATAATTTTGGACTGTTCTTGCTTGAACTTTGATGTATTCTATTAAACCTACTTCTAAACAACCACGCAAAACTCCATTTTAACCAAAACATCTATTACATTATGGTCTTTATATAGAAAGTCGTGATGTTAGATCATCTTAACTAGTGGCGGTTAGGTGTAGATTCTGTGTATGTTTTGGACGCGAAGAATATGCTAAAAATTTTTCAACATCTTGGACATTTGAGGGGCTTCCTTTTGACAGAAGCTAAGTGCAATTATTTTGATGTTTCTATTAAACATGCTAAAACTATTTGTCATTTCATGGAATATCACTTTGCCATGAGTACTTTTATAATCAGAAATTCAATTGTTGACGTGATTATAGAAGATATACTTTAGAATGAAAATGATTTGTATGGTCAGTCTCGAGCAAATGCAATGTCACTCTTTAAACTAACTAAAGATGGCAATTATTGTATTCAAATTAGCTAAAAAAAATAGTTTGAGTCGGTAACTTGTTTTGTTGCACGAGGAATGTCTATCACAATGGTTGTTGATATAGTTCAGGATGCGAAAGAGGTATGTGATATTACTAAACTTGGATATTGTAGCGAATATTTGGTTGCTTCTTATGTTAGAACCGCATGCGACATGCCATCAAAAATATTGCTAAGATAATTCATTCTACTTGGACCTTTCTTGTGGCCTTTGATGCCTCTTGTGACCTACAGAGAGTTTCTTGGATTGATGTTCAAATTTGATTTTATCAAAATTCTTCTATTGAAAATCTTCATCTTATCACACTTCCTTTCTCTAGTAAACATACAGGATTGGCTATGTTTGAGATGTTTTGCAAGTTGTTTGATGCAATTTGTCCCTTATGGAAAGACAAGCTAATAGGATGTTCAACTCATGGTGCTACAAATATGACATGACATTTATTTGGAGTTGTGACACGTATTCAGGAGGTGGTTACACCATATTTTATTTGTGTATGATGTTTGTTGCATCAGATAGATATTGTGATGCAGAAGATTTATAAAAACGCTGGTTGTGAAGTTCATAAGACTCTGACCTCACTGATTTCTGTTTTACGATGTCAGAAAATTTTGATAGATAAAATGCAAGCTATTTGTTCAAATTTATCTGCTACTCGTTGGATCTCTATGTCACATGTATATCGTTTTTTGGTCAAAAGAAGATATGAAATCATGGCTTATTTTGAGAAGAATGATGCTTTTCAAAATGTTTGCGACATGTCTTCATTATCTTGGTGTATTTTGGTTGCAATTATAAGTGAGCTTTCATGCCATGTGAGCGAATGTGTGGAAGGTTTACAAGGAAGAAGAACCATTTTGCAACAGCAAATGTTAGTTCTCCAAGATCTTCTAGCTAACTTACAGCGTTTTGCATGTGTAGAGCGAGTTGGTATTGAGTTAAACTAATCCCTTGCGTTTGACATCGTTACCTTGGACAGATGGCAAGTTAGTGATGCCAATCTGATTGGAATAATCGAAGATCAAGGTCTTTTCGCGACCCAATCATTGGTTGAGCTCGACCTAGAGTCCAAAATTGAAGTGCTGCATGCAGTTTTTGGAAGTAGTTTGTAATTTGAGCAAGGTAGAAGCCGCGAGTTGAACCGCGCGGCTTCTACTATTTTGCCACCTTGCTTAATTCAGGAACTTGTAGCTCTGAGAGAAGTTGTTCAATTAATTCTAAAATATGAAGATCGTCTCAAATTTTCTTGGGAACAAGAGGACATAGATAAAATAGTGGAAGAACACAAGGAGCTTTTGGTTGTTGTAGACAGAGAACATTGTCTTCGGAATGACTTGAATAGGTTGACTGAGCAATCTGATTTTAGCGAAGCTTGGAGTACTCCAAATATTAAGAATATGTTTCCTCGACTTATGAAGTTTGTAGTAGGATTAGCTTGTCCATTTCCGAATACTGCAACGGTGGAAAGTGACTTCTCAATTTTGAAATGGGAAAAATACATTCATAAATAACTGATAAAAAATAACTCCTATTTCTCTTGAAGGTATATTCCACTTTCGTCAAATTTGGAGTTTATTGAAGAAAACATGACAGATTTCTGTCAAGTTCCGTATGTTGAGTATTTTGGTTTGAAAATATTCCTTATTTTGTTGAGATACGGAACATAAAGAATCCTCCCTATAGAGAGAGTCCTGATTATAACTAACATGTCTACAATAGGAACATGATAATCTCAAACCATGCACTTGCATGTTTCATCCAAGTCTTATGAAAACTTCTTCATGTGTTAGTATGAAATGTTCATACTCAAACACAATAGCAATATCACATGTCTAACATTATCATGGATAACCGTGTTGGGTATTCCGAAGAATCAAGAGTGATGGAAAAGGCCTATATGCATCAAAAGTAACATGACATATTGATATCCAATTCTGAATATTGGAGATGTAGAAGGATGGACAAATTCAATGGAAGATCAATATCTAGCGAGAGTAGAAAATCCCAAAAAAATACGGGCCAAGATTACAGACATACATCCTGGCAAACCAAACTCTTAATCAAGCGCCAATACGACAAATGGGCAACGTATCCACTAGCATGTGGGAAGAGTGTCGTGTATGGATTCTCTCAAACGCGGTAAGTGTATGTGGACAAGAAACGATTTGGTTATCACTATCCTCATAGTACTAGTTATACAGTACGTGATAATCTTTGGGATAACAGAGCCAGATTGCGGTACCATCTAGGGGAAGAATGCCGTAGGGGACTGAAGAATGCTCAGGTGCCTAAGCTTAGCATCGTGCATGGAACCTGCAGGCCCAGAGGCTCAGAGGCTGGGTCACGAGGAACGAGGAGTCTTCTCCACCGTAACGCAACGTAACGTGCTCGATCAGCGCAGAACAGTCGAGGCTCGAGTGACAGACATGGTTCGGCTGAATCGGCTACCGCGTTGATCAAGATCGAGATCACCACGTCAGCCTCTCACGTATGCGCGTGATGTTGGTGTGATGCTGGTCTTTGTTGTGATCGCCGAAAGGCGCAGAGGCCCGGCCACGTCCTCGAGTGCCAGCCCGCATCGGCCTCAAACGATTCTTGTCACTTCCTGAGGGGGGCGTGCACGAGAAAGGAGGCCCGTGGTGGGGCTCCGCGTCTACGTGGCGGGCCGAGACGCAGTGCGCAGCCACCTGTCAGACGCGACGCCAATCGGACCAGGAAGACGCAGCACATCTGGTATCTTCACTCTTCTTCTTCCAGGGGAGGCGAAGCAGCAGCAGATGCACCGAAACCTTGTTTCCCCGCGGCGCGGAATTCCAACGAAGCGTGTGTACGTCGCACAGGTCGAGATGTTACCGTCCGAATTCCTCGAGCTCCTATAAAGCCACGATCGACTCAAAGAAACGAAAATTGTAGATTTGGTGTCGAGAAGTGTCAGACCGCAGCATTGATTTTTCTGTAGTGAGGGTTCAGTTTTCGGACGAAATCCGCCGAGAAGGTCGGGGAGGGGAGTTCAGCGCTTGATAGCTAATTTGTGCATTTTGGAGTGAATTCGAGGACGGTATCTGATTGTTCTTGCTGTGTCTGGTCTGCTTGAGCTTGACAAGGACGATCGGAGCGATGGCAACAGCGGGGCAAGCGGAACTGAACCAGAGGAAAGGGTTCGTGCAAGAAGGGCAGTACGTCAATGATGGCATTCCGCAGGGGTATCCCCAGAGCCACCCACCTCAAGGTGCTTATACGACAGGCAAACCGGGTGAGGGTCCTCCATACGTGCAAGGTCAGAACGTGGATGAATTAGGTAGAAAGAAAACAAGAGGTGCTAAGCTCGCAGCATGCTTGGTCGCTTGCTGGGCCTGCACTTGGTGTTGCCACGGTCCTTGCTGTTGCGGGCTGTAAGCTCCCGAGTGGTCGTTCGATCGGATGTCTCGCAACAGCATGGTTTTCTTTTCAATAGATGTTGGGGGTCACGGCCTCAAGGACTCCAGCCGAGCGAAGATGTTAAGCTTATCGTACCTGTCAAAACGGTTGGCATATCCTCGTACAAGAAGAGAACCGGAGGTAGACAAGAAGGATCGTGATCTACCGTCGCAGCACGTCGATGCCATGCAATCAGGAGGGAGCAATCTGGAAACGAAAGCAGATGATGAAGATTAATTGCAGTTTGTGAGTACAGAATTTGCTACTGTATGTGGCACCTTCAGGGTCATAGCCTATCTTCAAAATAGTTAATTTTTTGTGTGGCACCAAACCCCTTCGTACGAGGAATTGGGCAATTGGGTAGGAGTTCAGGGGTTTAGTCATATTTATACGATCTTGAATCTGAACTTTCTATCGAGTGGTTTTAGTGGATCATTGAAGCGAAAGTCTGACATACAGCCAATAAGAGATGTCACTTTCTTCCAAATGTACAGTTCGACACTAATCGGGACAAACGGGACTCACCTCACATTGAGGTTTCAACTATTACGGTGATTTTCGTAGGAACGATCCTATTCATTCTCGACGATGAGAATTAGTTATGATTCACATGAGTTATGTGACCAGTGTGACGCAATTCAAGTTCAGTCATGATTAAATGTTATGGCTGGAATTCATGAAATATAAATTTTATAGTTTCCAGGTATTCTGCAGTTATGCATTCATTGTCAGGCCGTTTACTTTCGAATAGCATGAACGATACTTCTGTTCACTAACCTCAGACAAATCCAGGAAGATCTGAATCGGTGGTTACTGTGAAGTAGTGAATAAATTGCGCATTTCTACCATGAATCATTTATAACATGTATGACATCATTTCGGTGGGAGGTAATCTTCGGCTCACAACACTATGTGACAATTTCAGAAATGACTTAGTGTCAGGTTCACTGGCGGTCAGTTTATTTACGGCATCACGTCATTTCCTACCACACAGGCAAAATTAACGATCGGCATGCCCCGCGAGAGGCATTCCATTGCGCAGATTAAACTCGTGAACGTTGCTTGACCAGCCATGGCATTCGAATTAAATGAAAAATTTGTATGCTTTGACCTGGTGTCTTAATTTTTGTGAAACAGAAAGCTGCTGCGTGCACAAATCAGCCACAGGTATGCTGTCATTTGAACCCGTCACATCTCGCAGCATCATAATAGCTATCTATGTTTCCCGGAAAGGCTCATAGACCCATGGTATTGAAAAAGGAAAAATAGGCCCATGGAGCTCGACCACGACCTTTTGTCCAGCTCATTGCTAACGTTGCGCTGATTTTAAAACACAAGGAACTTTCAAAGAATTGTAAAGTATCAAATCCTGTAGTTTATACATACTTTTGAAAGGACCAAAGTCTCAGAGGCTGGAAAGGTACTGACGTAGTGCTGGGCTAGATATGGAGATTTCCGAATCTCAGTTAAGAAGTTCTGTTCTCAGAATAGATGAAACATAATACACGCCCCGCTCATAGAACTTGGATGTTATTGTAAAAGCACTTTACTTACGGTAATCTTTCCATCTCAAATGCAGAGACGGCATTGCACGACTCTTGATCCTCGCTCTTCTGCTATGTGCAATCTAATGGGCCCCTGCGTTCACTAGATCACCGTTGTTACAGCAAGTGGCGCCTCTCATAGGGAGATAGATGTGTTTGTCGGCCGTCGGCCGGTTCCCAGGCCAGGCCAGGCCATTCCAGCCACGGGCCCGGCCCTGGCCCGAGGAGTCTCCTAGCAGGGGGCAAGGGAAGATGCGACTGTGCTGGACTGTAGTCGCTATGATATTGCGCCATGACCTACTAGAATGGTCGAGAAATGAATCTCAGTAGCTGAAATGGCTAACTACACTAGGAACTTCCAAGGTCATGATTCAAAACCTTCCATAGGTGTCATGACGGTGGCTCACGAATAACATACGAGTGGTACATGGTACATGACAAAATGGGCGTGCTGTTAAATCTGCTATTGTTCCAACTTGCAGTAGGAAATTTAAACTACCATTTGGAGCAATAGTGACTTGGCCACATGAGTGAGAAAGAGATGAAAGTAGTGCACTTTAAAGGGAAACTTGGAGGTTTATAATCAGTTGAGATAGACTCCCGCAAAAATTGCAGAACCAAAGTGCAGAAAAGAGTCAGCTTTCAGATAAAAGGTGAAACCCTGAAGAAGGAAAGGCTAGAGACTGTTCACTCCAGTGTTCGAGAACTGAGTACTATTTTATCCGATGGTTTGGAAAACACTATGTGGTGACAAATGATCGATGACCTCTGAGTTCGCTTTCCAATAATTCCAATTACAGTTAAGAATTATTGGAGACTTTCAAGAGAATGAAAAGTTGGCTAAATGGCTAAAAATGAGACAAGTCTGAAGATTCAACAATTAAGAAGGTTTTTGCGATGAACACAGGATCCGAATGGAGAGAACAGTATTTTTATACAATAATGTAAATGAACGCTGAAAGAAAGAGCCAAGAGCATTCGCATACCATCAACTCTAGCAAAGCATCTCTGGGCAGAAGCAGCCGACATAACATATCAGGTCGCTTGATTAATCGAGATTCCTCAAGTACATTACAGCACAAATCATCCGCAGAATTATGAAGTGGAAAAGAGGTAAACCTATCACATCTAAAAGCGTGGACAGTGCATTTTAGCACAGGTAAGAAACGGATCCAAGTGATGTGTGTATCGTTTGTCTCTCCGTCTGCCACTTCTACCGCGCGGTCGAAAGGCAAACCGAAGAGCGTTATATCAAGGCTTTGGAACTCCGATCGGTGGGAGACTCTACTCGGACAATGAAGCGGATGATGTGATCGAGGCGGTGGGTGGGAGGGAGATACAAGTATTGCGCACAGCTCCGATATTCTTCTGTAGTAAATGGAGTGACAGCGGTCCGGCGACAGGGCTGGCGATGCGCGGGGGCTGGCCCATCCGACGGCCGAAGGCAGGCGCGGGGCAGAGACGTACGGGGAATGCGAAGTGTAGACTGACTGACCAACGACAGGAGCCGTGGGGCGAAGCGAAGGGAGCAGGAGCAGCAGCAGCGCAGACTCTGGAGAGGGTCGAGGTGAGCTCAGGTCGGGCCGGGCAGGCGTAGACTCGCTGAACTTCGTGCGAGGGCTGAGGCGCCAGGTTTTGTCTTTGGTGCAAGCTCTGCATGCTTTGCTCGCTCGCTGCGTTGTGTTGGTGTTCGGCCCGCTCTCGCCCCGCTGCGATCTCCTTTCGGTCGCGCTTCTCTTTGAGAGCTCCGCTCGCTTGCTCCATGCTTGTCTGGCTGGCTGCCTTCCCGCCCGCGTGGTTGATTGCTTGTTGGGTTAAGAGCGTGTTGTCTGGCGTAGCGGGCTGAGGCACCGGCCTGCGCGAGTTGTGTTATCAGACGCAGAGGGGAGGGGATGTAGAAGCGAGAGGAGCCAGAGGAGCCAGAGCCAGAGCCAGGCCCGCCGGTGAAGCTCGAGTCGCAGTACGACGAGGAGGAAGAGGAGGACGAGGCCAGACGGAAGGGGGACTTCGCAGGCCCTCGAGACCTTGCAGAGAGAGAGGGAGAGAGGCTGGCTGGCAGGAGTGAGTGAGCGAGCGAGCGAGCGTTGCGTGGTGGTGGTGTTGTTTGGAACGCTCTCCTTTTCTTTCTCCAGGGTATAGCACGAAGGAATGTTCTGGGATCGGTGGATGTCGGCCTAGGCAGCTAAGATCCAAGTCGCAGAGGTCCAGTGTGGTTGAAATCGGACGAGAGATTGTTCGATTTAGTGTGTGTGTGCGCGCGCGCAAGAGAGAGAGAGAGGGATAGAGAGGAGAGTTGATGAATGGATGGACGCCCTGGAAACGCAGCGTGACAGCGGAGACGCAGTGCCAGGGAGATTTCGGATTCGCTGAATCCGCGGTGCAGAGGGGAACGAAGGCGGACGCGGTAGCTGGTCGGTCGGGCGGCGGACGATTGCGCGAGTGGAGCAAGTGAGAGACGGTAATCAGAGAACGGTCCGGTTGGGAACGCAGGAATCTAGAACGTTTTTAGGGCATGAATGAGAACTGGAAGAAGAAATGAAGGGCAGGTGCTGTACTGAATGCAACGCCGCAGAGAAACGCAAGGCATAGTAAAGGGCGTGCTGCTGGAGCCTTTGGGTATGTGGTTCAAGTGAAAAGGTGAGTGCGGACGTGCCGAACGCGTGCTGCACATGGAAGAGGCCTTTTCATCGCAGCAGTGGTCGTGTTTGGGACTGTTTCCTTGTTGTTCCGGAATATAATCTGCTTGCCCGGGTCGTTGCGTCGAGGAAGCACCTAATTTGTCGAAGTGTCGAGGTGATTTGTAGGACAGGCGTGGGAGTACGATTGATCCGGAGGTTTTTACTAGGTCTTAGCAATGCGAAGGGTAAGCGTAGATAGTGCGTAGGTTTTCCTCTAGGGCGGCGCGTGGATCAGCAGAATATTGCTACTGTGAATCATGAGTGATGATGGTTGGAGCCAGTATTCGAGCAACTATGGTGATAGCGACTCCGAAGAAGACTATGGCGGCGAGGATGAGGAGGTCGTAGCGCATCAGGAGGATCCTGAACCTAGCCACAAGGTAATTGCCCAAATCAATAAACCTTCCCCTGATTGGGGAATTGGAGGCCATCTCATTTTACCTTCTGATACTCATTTCCCCATCCCTTTCCGCTCGCTCTACCCAGCCCCTTATTTTGCGTGATTTTTAGGTTTTTCTTCTGTACTCACGCTCAACTCTTCTGCCGATAAGATACTCACACCACTTCTCACCGAAGTCAAGTCTTCGGGCACGTTTCATGCCCGGTAGTATAATTTTTTATTACTTTGTGCGTGGATATTTTATGTTTTACTTTGTCTTTTTGTTTAATCTGGGTAATCCCACTCTAGGAGTCGATTTGTTTAGACTTTGTGAACATGGCAACTCGAGAGAATCTTTTGAAAGAAGCTGCAAAGTTGTGCTTTTGGTCTCTGCATTCGGAAGCTTACAACAATTCAGTTCTTCATCTTAATCCTTGATTTCGCACGAACTTAGGAATGTGAAAGGAAGTTCTAGCAGCCAATTCGGTCATGTACCTTCACATGAATTAATTTCACGGTTTTTTTTCCAGCTGAATCTTTTCTTTACTGATGTGTGGATTACATCACAGATTTTACATGTCAGCTCGGCAATATCTTTATCTAATGCTATTATGATACTTAAGAGTCACCGGACCATTACGCAGCAGTTATGCAAAAAAGTTTTAGCCCTGTAGCCCTATATTTTTTGTTTCAAAAAAAATATCTTGTTACGGTTTTTTAAAAGCTCAACTGGGATAATATGGGATTGTGTAGTTCATTTTCATGTCATCTCGTAAAGCTTGTACGAGCTAGCGTTTTGTTCTGTCCAGATGACATTTGCAATGATTCTGTTTATCTGTGTGCTGAAATCTGCTTCTTGTGATCGGAAAATTCAGGTGATCACCAAGGAGTCTCTTCTGGCGGCCCAGGTATTACTTTCTAATTAAAATCTAAAAGTGTCTTCTTTAGGTTTTGTATGATTTACTCAAAAGGCTAGTGAATTGTTGCGTTTACTGATTCTTCCCTAACCGTAGGGTTCACCGCATTGGTCAGCTGCCTCCATCTAGTATCTGATTTGATATGTGTTTCCTCCCATGGCACAGTCTTTGAGCCTATGTCACATGTTTATATTATTTGTCGGATTTTTAAGCATCTTGGGGGTTTCTGTGTGTGTGTTTGTATCTTTCTACTTAAAACCTTACAAGCACCGCTCAACAAGGGTGCGAGGTTTGTGGTCTATAGTCCATGATCAGCAATTCGAAGTGTTGTAATCGTTATCATGTTTTCTGGTCTGTAGGGTTATGTTATGGATCATCTGCTAAATTCTTCCATGCATATGTAACTTCGTGTATCATCATCTAGAAAGCTTCTTGGTAATCCTTGCATCTCTACTTGCAGTGGTGTTAATTGAGTGCTAACTTTCTCAAGACGTCGTGGATTGCGAAACATATGTCGAGGTGCATTGGCTTATTCTGCGTTCGTGCTCTCTGCTGCCTTCTGATCTTCTGCCCGGACCTTCAACAGAGTGAAGATTTGCGTAAGGTGGTGGATGTTCTCGGACTGAGATTGAGACATGCTCGTACCCTTCTCATTTTTCACCGATGGAATGTGGAAAGTTTGTTTGGAAGATTAGCGGATAAGGGAGAAGAACGACTTTTCTTGGAAGCTGGGCTGCCGTGTCGGGCTACGAGTTGCTCATACGCCGCTTCTTGTACCTCGACGCCAGTGAGAAAATGTGGCATATGTCTGGAGGAGGTTTTGCAACAGGATGTGACCAGGATGGATTGTGGACACTCCTTCTGCAACGATTGTATGTATTCTTATGATTCTTATGATTTTATGTATTTTTTTTTTTTTTGGCCTTTCGCAATGAAGAAACTTGTTCTCCGCGTCAAAGTATTTTTCCTGGAAGGAAACAAACTTTGACTCACGTCGCGGGCAATTGCATGGACTACAGAAACCCGGTTCTCGTTGAGGCGTGTTAGTCCTTCGTGTCAAAGCACGTAATAAAAGAGTTGAGGTTAGCTTGAATAGGTTGCCTAGAAGAGGCTTTGTGTACATGGACGAGGTTTGTCTGAACGAGTAGTTGAAGAACTCTCACTATGGTATCCACCTGTACTGTCTCAGTATTGTTAAAACAATACTTTGGATTTGATTTATGCTGTCGAATTCTGAGGTTATATTTGTTACCACCAGCTGACGAGGTTGTGTTCAAATGCCTCAATATGTCAGATATATTAGTGATGACATAATGAACAGGGCTTCTCCTTCTTTGTCATGAAACATGTTTCAATGTTGCAGATACTTCACATCTTTTCCTTCTTGTAGTGGAAACTAACAGAGAGTCCTCTTTTGTGATGAAAGATGATTAATATAAAATTTAAGTTTTCTTTGGTAACGGTTAGTTGGCTCCTCAAAAGTCGTTTTAAGAGCGTGCATCAACAAGTTTTCGAATCTGCTTTTATCACGACATTGGTACTGAACTTTATGAGATATCTCTATAGGTTCCTAACAAGTTCTATGCTTCTATATTCTTAAATTGTCCATCTGTACCCTTTATTATCTCAGGCTGGACGAACTACTTTATCATTAAAATCAAGGAGGGTCAAAGTCGGCGAGTGACTTGCATGGAGCATCAATGCGGTGCCATATGTGATGAAGACAAAGTGCGGAGACTGGTCGGTACTAGGGATCCGGAGTCTGTGGATCGTTATGAGCGGTTTCTCTTAGAATCATACATCGAGGACAATGCGAAAGTGAAATGGTGCCCCAGCATTCCGCATTGTGGGAACGCAATCAGGGTCGAAGGCGACCCTTATTGTGAGATAGAATGCATCTGTGCGCAGCAGTTCTGTTTCAACTGCTTGGCCGAGCCACATTCTCCATGTTCGTGTCTTATGTGGCAACTGTGGGACAAGAAGTGCAAAGATGAATCGGAAACCGTTAATTGGCTCACAGTTCATACAAAGCCTTGTCCTAAATGCCAGAAGCCTGTTGAGAAGAACGGTGGTTGCAATTTGGTCGGTTGCATTTGCGGTCAAGCCTTCTGGTATAATTCTTTCTATGTAGATCCACGCGTGTTGTTGAAGTGAAGTATGTTTCATCCCAGTCTTGTCTCCATATCGTAGTTTTAGAAGTGTCTTGAAGATACTTGCAGGGATCAATCATTAACTAAAATGGTATTCTCGGTTTTAGTTGGCTTTGTGGATCAGCGACAGGTCGAGAGCACAATTGGAACAGTATTGAAGGACACAGTTGTGGACGCTACAAGGAAGAGAAGGAAAAAGAAGCAGCAAGAGCGCAACGGGATTTGAAGCGGTATATTCATTACCATTCGCGATGGAAGGGTCATATGGATTCGCTTAAGTTCGAGGAGAAGCAGAGGGAGGTTGTGCAACAAAAGATTGTTGCGTTAGAAGCTAGTGAATCTCTAGTCAAAGACTACAGCTGGCTTACAAACGGGCTGCAGAGGCTTTTTCGAGCAAGGAGGGCATTATCTTTCTCGTTTGCTTTTGCTTTCTTCATGTTCGGAAATGATCTTTTCAAGGATGATATCTCAGAGGAGCAGAATGAGATCAACCAGAACCTCTTTGAGGACCAACAAACCCAGCTAGAGGAAACAGTGGAACGTCTTTCTAAGCTCGTTGAGACCCCCCTAGAATTGCACACGGATGACATACATGTCAAGGAGATGAGAATGGAAGTCATCAACCTGACCGCACTAACGGATACACTTTGCAAACGAATGTAAGTCTCTTTCTTGAGTTTTTTTTTTTGTGTTTTATGGTCACTCACATATATCTTTTCAAGAAGTTAGTTTTTTAGTTGATTGTACATTTAGATCACCAATTAATGACTCATCAAGATACCATGTCGATCACTTTTGTTCGGAGGTGTTCCGAATTATTAGAATAGTACACTGTCGACCATAGTGTTGCAGAAGCCTTGTTCACACAGATATTGAAAACTTCCTGTTTAACAATCCCTCTAAAAGGTGTGAATACTTTTCCAATTCTTATATCATACTTACTTCTGATTTAATAATCAGAAATTTGCCTCCCTCAATGTCAGATTAGACGTAGATGTCATGAATATTTATCAGGTGAAGGTCAGTATATGAAAAGACTCAGGGTCGAAGGCCTGTCGCATCGTTTGACAAACTCTCGCTTGTGGTGCCTCTTTAACAGAAGTTCTTTCCAAATGTTGTCGTATCATTCTGACCATTTCACGCGTTGGTGTTAAGTAGGGAAGAACTATGAAGCATGACATGGCTATATCTTAACAGAATTCCTGGTTTTGTGTCGCAGGTACGATGTGATTGAGAACGATCTACTTGGTTCGTTACAACTTACAACACATCATATCGCCCCCTACAAGTCTCAAGGGGCTGAAAGAGCTTCACAGATAGAAGAGGCAACAGATCGCGCTAGTCAGAAGCTTTCCAGTGGAGAGGATTCAAGATACGCAAAGATATGCCCCAGCACAAATGGCTTTTCGGGTGAGTGATTGCAGCGGAATTGCGAGCCAATTTGCTGTGATTAAGACTTAGATGTGATTTCTGTGCATGTTAACCAAAGCTCATCGTTCCGTTTGAGACCCTCCCTTTTGTAAAACCCTGAAGGTTTTGCACGGTATATCTTTTTGCACTGACTCGTCTAGTCAGGAATAAGTTGGATGTTGGTCACTCGTAGAACACGCGAACCACTATTCTTGAGAGTTGTAGGTTCCTTTCCCCTGTTGATAAGATTGCACCAGAGGTGTTTCTCTATATGGCTGTCACCTGGTTCTGCTGCCCTTAGTGGCACTTTTTTTGGCTCATCAAGGCGGTCTTGTACAGGAGGTGCACAATTTTGAAGTTACTCTTGTCAATATGGGCATCGCCCAAGTCTTTACTAGAACTAGACCTGTAATATAAAGTTTATAATGCAATTTTGAGGCTTACTTACTAAGCTTTTGGGTGGAGGGATGAATGCTTTGCTGAACACACTCATACGTCACTTTGTTTCTTGATTTTGTTTTGTGTGTCAGTCATTAGACAGGGCTTAAGCTTAAGTTGTGCTATTTTATATCTTTTGGCTTTTCGAAAGAGACTTCTGAGTTTGAGCTTCGGACGACTTGTATACCATGCCAATAGTTATGCAATGCACATAAGCTCTTTCGTGCGACACTTGAATTTTGGAGTACTTTCTCAATACTTGGGTTTTGGTATACATCTAGGGTGTTAAGTTGCGATTATCATTATAGATGGGCGCAGTGTTCAAAATATATTTTTCACCCATTGAAGATTGTAATAGCACGGATGTGCAAGGAAGATAGGAATGCACAGTTTCAATTGTGTTTGTCAGCGCAGTGAGCCCATATGTCGCAGGTTGTTGAAATGGACATATGATTATAATATGATTACTCTCTTGTACTTTGTCATCACATATCCCAGGAATCAATCTGAGTTTTTTACATCAGTCCACATTATGGGAAACATGGAGAACTCTCTTGCCTACTAAGCACATATCAATGAAAACTGAATTAGTTTGAAACCTAAACGAAACGTGATTTTTTGTGCACTTTCTCTCCGTCAGTCTTGCAAAACACTTTCTATGTTTTCTATAAGCAAACAATGTACACAACTTTTCTCAAGCTCTCGATCAAATGTCTTCCTCTAGAATCTGGTTTTGTGGTGTGTTGTGAAGTACGACCGTTGAATAAATTATTAGATATCCTGGCGATCCATTTTTCACCAAAAATGGATCGCCAACTGTAACGAATATGACGGGTAGCGGTGTGGAGCAGAAGCTGCATCGAGTTAGTTGATTGATCAGGTTCTAGCGTGGTCAATCTGAGGATTGTTGCCTTGGAACCAACAAGTTGTGGTATTTATAAACTTGAAATTTTACCTCATGTCGAGTTTGTTGTACTGGTGACGAGGAGATGGACTTTACGCTTTTCCTGTCAGCGTGCTAGCTTAAGAGATTGTTCCTGTCGACATCAGGCAAGGACACGTGCTTTTCAGTGTAGTCACGAGGTTTTTTCAATCTCTCACATCATTTGCCTCATTCAGTTTTTTGCAATGTCCACGTGTGTTTCCATCCTTCTCAAACTGCTTACACTAGTACTAATGCATTAAATGCTTCGACTCTCCCATGTCATCTTTCAGGTGGTATTCCAGGTGGTGATGGAGCAGAACCGTTGGGGGTCTCAGAAACGATGCAGGAGAAGGAAGCAGACACAGCGGGCGAGGTCGACCAGAATGATGTTCTCAAGGAGCCTTTGTCGAAGGAGAAGGGATTGAAAAGGCCACTGCAGGATCTAGTTTGGGGATCAAGTAGCAAGCGGCCTGGGAAGGAAAGCTTTACTAGAGGTTCCACTTCGGAGACCTTAAGCGGGTGTGAAGCAGTAGATTCCTTACCTAGTTCTAGCTCATCCTTGTTGTGGGTTGAAATGGGTACCGTAGCGCTCGGAAATGATGGACGACCACACCACCAGCCGTCTGATCCATCTTGGATGGAGCCGCGAGTTGTTCAATCATCTGGTGCCTCATCAAGAGAAGCCTCAATGGAGGATCCACCCGAAGATATTAGGAGCGACTATCGCTTCGAGGGGTTGAGCACAATGCCACCATACGCTAACTGCAGCAGTAATTTTGATACTCATGGCAATGTTCCGGACATGAATCTGCGGGCAAGGTATGTGATAGATCACATCCTTTGTTTGTGGATGTCAGTCAACTGTAAAGTCAACTTGGGCTTGCGAAACTTCGAAGTGATGTATTTTGCTTGCGCCTCTAAAGTGCATCACCCGCCGTACATGATAAAGTGAAGGTCATATGTGCGGAGGACTTGTTTCTGAAAGTATCAGTTCTCAGTAGGTACTCAGTACAAACATCTATAGTTTGTACTTGGAATGCCTTAGTCATTTCCCTCTTTCCCTTTGCTCATCAGATGTGCTGTTTGCATGAAGCTCGATGCGCATCCGGGAGTGCTTCTGACCGTGGCTGGTTATTAGAAGCTTTGGAATTGAGTACTGTATTACAGACGGATACGCCAGGATCTCTATTAACATGGTTCATAAGGTCGGTCGTCGGTTCGGTAGATGCGAACATTACATGATGGAATGAGGTCATTTGAAGTAATCCGTATTTTTGGATAGCTTGGATGAGCCAGCCGTGATATCGTCTGCATGCTCAAATTTGCAATCGTTTGGATCTGTAGTGTCTGCTTGGTTTGGTACGCCCTGGTTTTGGATGCTGGTCTCCTCTTGCAACACAGTTCTGTTATAGTGCTTGCTTACAATGTGACTGGACATTCTCACTCGTTGGAAAGGTAGTAATGTGCACACCCGAGTTTCAACGAGGGAGGCAACTCTGGTGATGACTTTGCAGGGTTCCAACATTATGGTTCATGGAGTTGTTACTGGTCATCACAAAGCTCACCTTTAAGCTTGGAAAACTTGGGACTTCTGCACTGAAAACTTTCCCTTGATTGTTGTTTGCTGCCTTGATAAAATCATACCCACCTCTGGATCATAATTGACAATTTTCTGCGGCGAAGTTGTTCAGTATGTGTAGGTGTATTAGGTGTCGCACTCTTACTCAGCTCTTTGTGGTGTCCGCAGGGCATGGGATGATGCATGGAAGCCATGATCTGGTGGGGGTGGGCACATCTCCCTTACATTCCTTGCAGTCCACAAACCGCGCCCGTGGTTTATTCGAGGGATAGTGGAACCAGTGCCATGTAGTCATCGCCAAGGTGAATTTGGAGGTAATAAGGTCTGGAGACTTCTGTCACTCCCATGTGTTCATGGTTGACAAATTTCAATTGCGTTCCTACACCACCAAGGAACCATGGATTGCCGAGGATTCTTGAAATTGTATTGACTGCCAGATGGAATTCCGAACATTTGTTACATCCATGCTCTGTCCATGACTTCCATCTTTCCTGCGTGGTGAAAAGTGGATGAATATCTAGGTGATTCAATTCTTAGATGACAAACACAGAAATGGCTTTAAAGATGTGAGAACACAATTGATCAGCCATTTGGCACATATTTGTGGAGTTGTACATTATTAGCTTGTACATCCAGCCATATCATTTAGCATTTTTTACTGAAGTGATGGAGAATAGGGTGTCCCGACCATGAGGATGGCGTTTCGTAAGACATTCACGAAACCCATATCCAGACCTACGATCCTTCCTTGGTGGATGAGTTTTCCTCTTTGGCACAGACTCACAATCTCCAGCAGTTGGATCTGTGGTCCAAGTTGGAGGCTTCCTAGATAAAAGTAGTCAACGTGATTCACCTTGTACATATATATTCTGCTCAGTAAAGTGATTGTACGTCTGCTATGTTTTGTGGTCACTGGAAAATCACTTCCATGTGTGGATTACTGTGTTCTTGTCCATCAGACTATGTTCGTATCGATTGGAGTTGTTGGAAGGTAATTGTCATGCCTAATGAATGGTGTTTAGATTCTTGGACACCGAAACATGTACAATTAGTTTTTACGCAATTTCTCTTGTTGTGATAGTAGTAGATGACAGTTATGCGTTCACGAGTATCACATCAACAAAATGTTTCATCCCGGTCACAAGATGCCTTGTGGGGATACCAGGATCACGTTAACTGTAATTGTCCATCCGGGTTATATTTCTTTTGAAGGAATAAATTTTTTCTTTCGTTTTTCTACTGTCATCAATCTTCTCATAGCTGCGGAAAAGAATTTGCAGTCGCTAATATCATTAATCATACTAAAACTCAATGTGATTCTCGTTTGTGAAATTGATACGGAAGTCATAGAATTGATTAATAAAATTTGGAATGACATGGAACTTTCCTGTCACTGTTGTACTATAAGTAACTTAACTTCGGAATACCCCTAAATTATAAGAGTTATGAAAGAAAAGGAGTTTGTTTGCAAGGAGGATAAAACAGAAGGCAAGAGACCATCTTCTTGACGTGAGTGAAGTCGAGGGGTAGAATACGGTATAAGGGGAGTTATGCAAAAATATCACCATTGGCGTCACCACCACAATCACATCGCATAGATTGAAGTATGATGTCGAATTACGATCACCTGTACGGTCCTGAATAAAATAGAGATCACGGAGATGCAAGTAGCTTGCATCTACATTATCGGTGTAAAACAGTTTGACGTGTAAGGATCATTTAGCATCTTTTACAGGCTTCATCATGTTCAAGGAATATAATACAAATGGTAAATAGATCAAGCCCGTGAGACCCAAAGGGTCAAAAGTCTAAATAACACAATACAAAACATCCAACCCCAAACAAGGAGAGAACCAAAAGAACCCCTAGCTAGTGTCCAAAGCAAGAGAACGGTTACAAATAACGTCCCTAATGTAACAACCTAAATCATAAAGCTCAAGCTGAAGCAAAGAATAAAAATTCTCAACAACAACTTCATGAGCCACTCTAATCTCTACATATCTAGTACAAGTAAGAAATACATGCTCTTCATACTCAATTTTCCTACCATCACATAGCCTACAAATACGTTCACTCCTATCAATGTTCAACCAACGCACTTCTTCAATCCCAAGACTATGAGATCCTGTTCTATGTCTAGCAATAATATGACGTAAAGAAGTAGATATCTCAGCAAGTAAGTATCATTGCTCTGAATAAACAAGCATAGGATTCACATGAAGTTGATAAAACTGCATCTTGGTGTCTCGTATGCTCCACATAATGCTGAACAATTCCTCCTTAATACGCTCGCGTAGGGCAATAGGTTGCAAATCCCAATCGAGTTCTGTCACATTCCACCTCAAAGACCAAGTCACCACATCTGCAAACCACCCTTTGGGATGTGTGGTACGCAAAGCTTCAAGAGTAAGTCGAAAAGCATCAAGAGATCTCACTCTTTTGACGTAAGTGATAGTCAAAAAGAGAGCTTCAGCCTCAAGAGGTAGACAACCTGTTTCCGCAAGAAGAATTGCTCAAGAAGTTTGGGTCCTCACATTCATTTCTTCTTGTAAGAAAATCTTTTGTACTCTCTTCAAACGCTGCCAACCTGTCTTCTTACAACCAGGATCCCACACTTGTGTTCCATATAAGATAACTGGAAACACTAAGCTCCTGAATAAGAATTTCCTAAGACTCCAAGACACTAGATGAGCTCCTCTACATCTATTTAGCAATGAATATAGAGCTTTGAAACCAGCTTCTACCCTCTTTTGCACACAAAGTGCCCAACTATAATCAGATGAGAAATCAATGCCCAAATATTTGTAACTTTTCACTTGTTCCAACTCTAATCCTTTGTAACAGAAAGAAAACTTGGATCTAGTGCACACAATAATGACTTTGGTCTTCTCTAGATTGACCTCCATATGATTTTGAGTACAAAAACTAGCCAAAGTGTCAAGGTGTTTCTGTAAACTAATGGCATCGCGTGCTAGTAATATGACATCATCTGCATACAAAAGAGCTTTGATGACAAAGCCTCCAAGTTTAACACCTTCGCTATCACAATCCTCCAACCACCTTTCTATATCATCTATGAAAACTCCAAAGAGAGTAGGAGAGAGAGTACAACCTTGAATGACTCCAATGGTGCTGATAATCTGTTCCTTTTGAGAAGTGTTGATCTTGGCCCGAACTGAGTGGTATAATGTAGCCACCGCTGCTAAGAGATCTGATGGTACTCCAATGGTTTGCAATCTTTGCCATAAAAGCTCACGAGGTACTGTGTCAAAAGCTTTCTTGAAATCAATGAAGGCAAAAAACAAAGCTTTTCCATTACCCTTGGATTTCTCCTATATAACACGTAAAACCAAGATATGTTCTATAGTGTTGAATGTAGGACGAAAACCAGCTTGGAACCGCGCTCTCTTCTGAGAAGATTCAGCCCATGTGCTCAACTTTGACTCCACCAATTTGCCAAATAATTTGGCAAAAATACTACCCACCATGATAATGCGATAGTTTGTCACCAAGGCCTTGCTCCCAGATTTGTGAATAGGAACAATCTTCCGTAGAGATCAAGATGAAGGAAAGCCATGAATAGCAGCATCCTCTAACACTTTCGTGAGTATAGGCCCAATAGCATCTCCTCCCCACTTGAGAAGTTCAATGGAAAGCCCATCAAAATCCTCACATTTACCATTTGCCAATTGTCTGAGTTGAGTCATCACTTCAACTTCTGAAAATAAGCCTGGATTTCCTTCACAATGTGGCATTGATGCAACATTGGGAAAAAAATATAGCTTATCAGCAAAAGAAATCAAAGACTTGGGATCAAAAGTAGGTTTAGAAGATCGTACTGCCAACCGCCTCCAAAAGGATTTGGGATTCTTCAAGAGCTACTTTGTCAAGCATTCTTGCTTCTGCCTCAAAAAAGCTCGTTTCTTAGACTTCACCAAGTCTTTGTAAAGTCTTGTCATAATCAACCGATTGTGAAGATCCAAGGATTTATCAAGTGATCTCGCCCTCGCTTGCTTGCAATCAAAGTCAAATCATCCATTGCAAGTAAGATCTCTAGCTCTCCTGATCTTATGTCTCAAAAAGAACTTAGAAGCAGAGTTTTGGAGCAACTCGGTTAGTTGCAAACTAGATGTATGTGGATCAAGGCTCCAAGTAGTACGAGTCAAGAGGTCTTGGAAATGTTCACTATAAAGTTGCTTCTTACTAGCATCTAAACAAAACTTGGGGGAAGTAGAAACATAGTGACATGTAGAGAGAGTGATTGACGTTGACAACAAAAGAGTAAATAAAAGAGGTGTATGATCTAATTCTGGTTGAGGTTCTAGAATATCAAACGCTGAGATAAATGAACTATTAGTGGCAGAGGACAAAATATAATCTATAGTGCTAACACCAGTAGAGGAAAAACATGTATTGGAGTGAGAGTTGGGAAAGAAAGAAACGCCATTGAGAACTTTCAGATTACAAGTGGCTCCAAAAGTTAAGAAATGCTCAGTCAAATCATTTGTACAAGGATCACAAGAGACTCTAGACCACAAACTATCTCTACTTTCTTCAAAAGAGGGAGAAGACAAGGACCTATCAAATTGTGTAAATTGAGCAGAACGTATGCGGGCATTGAAGTCTCCAACAAGAAAAACTTCACCTTTGTCTTGATATTTGAGAACATCTCCTATGAGCCAATGGAATGGTTGACTTTGATTGCAAGTGCTTGTGGAGTAGATCTGCATGGATAATGGTGCAAAGTAACAAACTGCCAAATAACTGTAAGATACTCCAATCAATCCAAAACGAAGCCAATGATATTGTTTCCCAATATCTTGGCTTTCCAAATGTATCATAGGAAGAAGTTCAGATCTGATGAAAGTAGCAATGCCTCCAAAGCCTCTTCATGCTCGTCGATTTCTATGGTTCCAAGTAGATCCCACCAGAGTAAACCCTTGTATCTCTCCAATAGCATTACTTTCATGCTCCCAAGTCTCAACAATGTTGAGGATGTCCGCCATCTTCCAAATCGGACGTGCACTCACATACTTAGTTGTAGATAGGCCTCTTATGTTCCACATCAACACCCTCAACCTCTTTGATTGCTAGGTTAATGATTTTCTCCTCCTCTTAGTGATAATAGCTTGATTATCACGTAGATAAGCTACAAAACCTGCATCTTGAGCTTCTTTGACTTTTGCAAGCATATATAGAAGGCAAGAGACCATCTTCTTGACGAGAATGAAATCGAGGGGTAGAATACGGTATAAGGGGAGTTATGCGTAAATATCACCATTGGCGTCACCACCACCATCACCGGACATAGATTGAAGTGTGATGTCGAATTACGATCACCTGTACGGTCCTGAATAAAATAGAGATCAAGTAGATACAAGTAGCTTGCATCTATATTATCGGTGAATTAAACGTTGTAAAATAGTTTCACGTGTAAAGATACTTTAGCATCTTTTACAGGCTTCATCATGTTCAAGGAGGATAATACAGAAGGCAAGAGACCATCTTCTTGACGAGAATAAAATCGAGGGGTAGAATACGGTATAAGGGGAGTTATGCGTAAATATCACCATTGGCGTCACCACCACCATCACCGGGCATAGATTGAAGTGTGATGTTGAATTACGATCACCTGTATGGTCTTGAATAAAATAGAGATCAAGTGTAGATGCAAATAGCTTGCATCTAAGTTTTTGGTGAATTAAAATTTGTAAAACAGTTTGACGTGTAAGGATCATTTAGATCTTTTATGGGCTTCATCATGTTCAGCATACCATTTAAGTATGCATCCATTTAGGTATGTATTCTAATTAAGTATACATTTTATCATAGTGTTTTAAGTGATCAACATTTTTCATGATTTCATTGTAAAGTTCAAAATTTTTATCATAAATTTCAACAATTTCACTGTAAAGTTCAAAGATTTCAATGTAACATATCATGCATTGTAATACGTTCATGATATGTTATGTTTTTCTTTGCATCTGGATTTAAACACTAGTAGTTGTAACTTAACTTTGAATGTTTTAATCAATTTTTTCAGATAGTGTAATGAATCTTGAACTTCTATTTGAAATGTAGAACAAAACAATTGATCTTTGATATTGAGAATCTTCTTTTACAAGGATTCAAATCCATGATAATCAATCATATCTTGTGAATCTATAATCTCCTCGGTTATATCAAAATCTTTGGCATCAATATCGTCAGTACTCGTGGAATCTAACAATTCCTTCACGTCTTCTAGTAGTGCTGCAATATATTCTTCATTGCTTTAGTTGTCAATGTGAACAAAATTTTTCAAATCTGATTGGTCAATCAAGAGATTTAAGTTGTTGATAGTTTTAACTAACTCAACGACAATCAATTTCACTCTCAAGCCCTAGTTCGGGTTCAAAATTCATGAACTCTTCACTACAAATTGCATTTTTTTATACAATTTGACAAAACCGAATCCCAAGCTTCTTTCACATAGCTTGCAGCGTTCATCAGATGTGATGGATTTCCATAAAAAACTACTTTCGCACCTCATTGTAATCTTTTTCCCAATTCTCTTTTCCTCTCATTCAACTTCTTGTCAAACTCGCAAAAGTCGAGTATATACTTGAGATATCAATAGTTATATCGTTTTTTGAGAGCAACAATAATCCTCATATCACAAGGTTGTTTCCAACTGGTACAGTTTGGAGTTAAAAATACCACATGGATGTTGTCGCGTTCGAAAGCATCTAAGTGTCCTGACGCATTATCCATCAATAAAAGAACATGATGTCTTGTTTGTCTTTTGATTTCTAGAACAAAGATTTTGTTGAACCATCTCCAACAGATTTTCACGTCCATTCAAGCCTTCGCTTGATTGAAATAAGGAATTCACCAGTGTCGTTTTTTCATACAAGCTGGTTCCTTTGAATTTTCAATCATTATGCAAGTTTTATGTGATCCAAAAGCATTTGCACAAATTATAAAAAAAAACTATCTTTTGATTATTTTTTACCTGTGGTGCTTGGAATATCCTCGTTTGGAAGAAGAATTGAATATATGGAAAACAAACGGAAAACAATCATGTCTTGTCCATGTTGTACATGTTTTTGATGATGAATGATGATTATTCCAAGGCTGATAGTAAACCATGATCATTCTTGTCAATCTATTCGTCTTCTCCGTGCAAAAGCATTTTCTACAAGCCTCGAAGTGCCTTGCAACGATCAAGCCATTGCCATGAGGCCTTCAAATCTGAATCAAAAATTGATATTGTGGAAGTGATATCTTTTGACTTTGAAATTGCGAGAGATGGCTATACATGAAGCCTGACACAACGCATGTTGTCAATCCAAGGGTACAACTTCTCTTCAAGTTTGGAAAATCGTCCAACGGAAACTCTAAAGTTAATTTGTCTATTTTGTTTGGAGAGTAAAGCTCATCGTTCAAGAATAAAATCTTGTTTCTCTCATATTTTGCTTACAGCACCTTTACTAATTTCATACTGATGCGCTAATGGGCTTGAAGGATTCTACTTTCTAAGTTTTGAAATGATCTCACATCGTTGGGATTCGTTCAGGCGCTTGGTGTTCGATTTCTTCAACATTAGAGCTCTATGCAAAATCTTTGGAAGTGAAATTGTTAAATAGGCATCTCCTAATTAATTACGCACAAAAAATTAGTGTTCAATGTGAGTACTTAAATGGTAGACTAATGTATCCATGGGTTTAACAGCCATACAAGCCAAAGTAAATGTGCAAGTTTACAGATAATGAGATCATGAAATAGAGACAATTTCTCTTGATAATCAATAAAATTTGTCACTAAATTTTTTTAAGTCTTAAATAATCTATACATATTACATTGTTAATATAATAATCATCTACTATTGTATGGTGTCAAATTTTTAGAAAATTTGTCTTTATTTATGATAAATCAACATAAATTAATTTTACACAATGAAGATATTGAGAGAGCATTTTAAATTCTTTACAAAATACATGTCTCAATCCTTGTACTTTCTAACGTGATTTTGATTACTCTCATAGTTATTGCATCTAAAGTACAGGTTTTATAATATAGTAAGAAACTATAATTTCTTATTGTTTGATATATAATATTTTCGAATATTTATGCGCAAATAACAAATTTCTTCTTTCACATTAGATTTTTAGATGAAGAGATATATCATATATCATTGATGCATTTTTATATTAATGCATCAAAAGGTTATGTTTATCATTATTCTCACCTTATGTTCAATATTTGCATAATAAATATACATATTGATGTATCAATTCATTTATAAAAATTACTTGTATAATAATTTTTTAGTTTTACTAAAAATATAATTATCAAAAAAAAATATGATTTGAATACCATCATCATTTTAACTAAAGATGAAATAGTAGAAATTTTCAACAATTTATAAGAATGTGAGTAGTAAATCCTTCCATGGTGAATCCAATTTCCTTCATATTACCCTGAGCTAGGCAGTATATGTTGCAATATATATACATAGTTGTGTACTTTATACTTGAATTTCTCAACTTTTTCAATATAGTTTACAAAGTCTTAAAACTTATTTTTCATATGCGATGCGACATGTTTGACTTTGCTTTGATTGTACGTATATACATCATGACCAGATTCATAGGTTATCATTTGACATGGCATGAACCCATACCACAATTATACCCCTGAGATACTATTTTTCCGCTCATCTCTATGGATTCTAAAGAATGAATGATTGAGCAGATATATAGAAAGTAAATTGCATCGAGTAGCTTGTCCTTTGTGGTTATGACATTTTTGTTGGAATCCAGTAATGCGGTAAATTCTCTCCAAATAAATTTTCAGCTCCTCGAAGTTACGAGGAGATTGAGCAACAGACACGATTCTACCATCGTTTTGTTAATTTCGATTGTAAGGTCTTAGTTATGGCTGGACGGAACCTAGACCATTATTTCTCCGCGCATGTTTCAAGAAAATCAAGAGAAGATTTTGAGAAAATAACCACTGTCTCTACACAAATCTCTCAAATTTCCATCAAGATTGTGTAGCAACTCTCAATTTGTGGCAAAATATGGCGCGACAGCATATGAATACTCCGTGTTCTCGGACCGTACTGTATCACTCGAGACGTGGATGGCTGTGAGGAGGCAAAAGGAGTACCATGAATTATTACGGGCATCCCGAGGCGCGCGGTTGTGGATATAGATGTACACTTCGGAATGAAGACGCATTCATTCCTCTGACGGCCCTGGACCGACCGACCACCCGAGCGGGCGGGCACGGCGACCACGGATGGCCCGTGGGACGGGAATCGGGATCCGTGATGGCCAGCACAGTCGAGCATCTTGGCCATTATGCCCATTTGAAAGATGGCCTGCGTTTTGAGTCGCAACAAAAGCTCGCTTTTCCCGATGCCCCGCGCTTGCAGCTCTCTGAGACGTGCCTGTCGCAGACGGACAGGCATGGTGGAAATTCGCAGCAGAATCCCACTCCCGTCGTCGTGAGGCAAGGTAAGGTCAGGCGAGGCAGGGTACAGCGAGGGCCGACGAGGGCGTAGTATAAATTCGTGATCGTCCACGATGAGGGCTGTAGTCGCTCTTTCCTCGTCAATCTCGTCCAACTTTCTTGGCTGCCGTGTGGGCCGCAGTGGTTCCACCTCATGTTCTGACCTCGTCCGCCCTCCGAGTGCTGGTGCTTGTGCTTCATCGTCGGCCTTGTTCGTTCCTCGGGCTGGAAGACGAGCGTCTGTGAGCACTTGTCAGTTCGCTCAGCCACAGCGATCGCAGCGCCAGACACGTTTTTCGGTTGTTTGTTGCTCCGCTTCTCCTGTCTCCGAACAGGCCTCTGTCAAGAGCGGCGTCGATTCCATGGAGTTATTGGCGAAGGCAGCCGTGGGAAAGCCCGGCCAGCTCGGTGACTGTGAGTTCTTGCTGCCAAAACCCGTAGCCAGTCTTTTGCCATCAAGATTTCTGCAAGCGATGGGGGATATGCAGATTTCTGCCGAAGATGTCCGTCTTTTCTCCGTGCGTGGCTCCGTGCGAACTTGTGGTTGTCTTTTGTTTTGGTATTCTCCTGTGTCTACTCGTCGATTGCCTGTGCCATTGTTAAATTTCTTAAACGTTTCTCGGCTGACTGATTAAGAAGTCATTGGAGCTATGGTGGAGGTGGGGGCTGACATAATGTCGTGAGTCATTCGAGAGCTCATAAATTCCCGTCATTGTTATTGTCCAGCCTGATAATGGGCAGGTAGATCAACCTGTCAGAAGCCACTTGGTTGAAGGATTTAGCCCTTAATTGGATGACACGATGGACCTCTTCATTCCGATTCCTTAGTTCTTGGGTCGTAACCTCTTGTGCCTAAATAGGCTAGATATCTTGTATTTTCAGCGGAAAAGTTGGCGTCACCTGATCGATGACTCCGGAATTATCGAACCCTTCCAGTGCTCTTGCCCTCCTCGTCGGTCTGACACCTGGAGACTCACTTGGCTTTCGAAATTTTCTTCTACCCGAGGACTGGTTGCGCCAAACTCACTGCGACCGTCTAGTGTGGCTTCACGTGTGTTTAAACCTCTTTGATTTCATTCTACTGAGATTGTGTAAGCACCTTGTTTGGATCAGAAGCTTGGCATAACCGAACGTCCACTGAGACAAACAATGACCATTGGAGCAAGGGGGAGAAGCCGTAGTAAAAATTACGTACTTGTTAGAAGAATGACTCTTAGACCGTGAAGAGCTCGAAAATTCCGTCATTATGTCGTTGATCTTCTTTTATCTAGTTTCGTAGATACTTTCGGCGGTAGTTAGCGCTACCTCGAGCCACACACAGAATTTCTTTTCATCTGATTTTGATTGAATTTTTGTTTTGTACCAATGTGAGTCTTTACCCAAAACCCTCAATGGTCTGGGTAAAGATTACAGTCAGCATTAAGTTACGAGTGATCTATCTCGTGAGGTCTGGAATTGATGTTAGTGACATCGTTTCTTCAGGCCCGTTTACTCAAAGAGTCATGCTGACTTTGGAGGAAAAGCATATCAAATACGACGCCACTTACATTGACGTCTCAAACAAACCCCAGTGGTAAAATTTCTCATTCGGCTGGATGAGTTTCTCAGCCTGCAGTTATGTTTCCGCAGATAGTAGATTTTGCTACATAACACGAAGCGGCAATAGGAAAGGACTACTTATCCACATGATATGTAACTCAGTAACGGCTGGAAGTTTTGTGCAAACGATTTAAATCCTCATTTCCTTTGGTTGCTGCTTAAGTCATATGAAAGTCTGAGAAACAAATAATGTTGTAAGTTTAGAAGCTGCTTCCGTGGCGATCATACCATGTGGCCACGAGATTGCTAGCTGTGTAACTTTTTAAATTTCAGATTACAGCACTCATGACCGAAACCACAATGACTTGATGCAGGTTCCTGGAGGCAAATCCTGAAGGAAAGGTTCCAGTCATCAAACACGAGGGCAAGTGGATTGCAGACTCTGATGTGATTACTGCTTTGTTGGAGGATCTGTACCCTGAGCCGTCTCTCAAGGTTCCCGATGAGAAGAAATCTGTGTAAGTAGCGTTACGTCCGTTCCTGTGTTCTTCTCAGTTTTGTTTGATCAATCGATGTAATTTCATCAGGAATGTACTTTGAGAACATGCAGTCATTGCGTAGACACGAAGAAAACAAGTAGAAACGATCATGGGAAGAGTAGTATTCAGACCCAGGTCTGATATCCTTCTGAAAATGCACCTCCCCTCCAGCTATGATTTGTTAGATCTCTGCAGTTTTCTTCGTTAATGTTAAATTTCTTCAATAGAACGTTGTTTTGCTTGAAGTGCAGTTTGCCATTGTGACGTGTTTTTTAATTCGGTGCTGCAGCGGGTCCAGTATTTTCGGTGCTTTCATTGGTCATCTGAAAAGCAAAGATTCCTCCGACGGAACAGAGGCAGCTCTCCTGAAAGTACTTGTTGAGTTTAACGAGTATCTACAACAATCAGTAAGATATTTTACATTTGAACTACCCACTCAAGATCTGTTGCGAATGGCGATGTTATCTGTTGTCCATCGGACGGACTGCGACCATTGCAACATTCTTATTGTTATACATCTGTAACGTCCAATTGAATCCAAGTAAACATGATTTTTACATCTTTTCCGTTTCCCGTCAGTTGTGGAAGAGCAGTCATTGTACTTCTTATTTACCTCGTTGCTCTTGCAGGGCCCTTTCGTTAATGGAGAAAAAATTTGTAGCGTGGACCTTGCGTTGGCACCAAAGCTGTTCCACATGCAGGTTGCTCTGGGACACTACAAGCAGTGGACTGTTCCAAAGGAAGTTCCGGAGGTGTCCTCCTACATGAACGTAAGAACATCGTGAGGGAACTTTGACTTCCATTCTTTGTTTCAAACGGACCATCGAATTCTCCTTTATACAGTGCAAAAACTATACAAAATCTGAATGAGTTTTTGAAGTTGACTCGTCAGTGGCGAAACTAGAACATTGCAGTGGTGCTTGATATCTTTGTGGGACTATGGACATACACATCAATGCCGATTACAGACTTTCACGGTAGCTGTTAATGCCTACATCAGACATTTGCGGGTCATCTTCTTACTGGCACGATGGAAGAAATGTGTCTTGCCACCAAGTTGATGCCAAAACTTGCTCTTTTCTGTGCAGGCCTTGTTTAGCCGAGAAAGTTTCTTGAAGACGAAGGCAAAAGAAGAGGATGTGATCAAAGGATGGGAAGCTAAAGTTCTGGGCGCCTGATACAATTCTACCGCGAATAGACTTTTCTCTACGCACTCTTCCTTGTGAAAGATGACAAGCTAGACCGATTGAGTAAAGCGCCTTGTATAATTATCTGAAGTAAAAGTCGGATTTTCTCCAGATTGCTGTACCACAACACAGACGCGTCACATGATATTTCCAAATCGATGTTGCGTCTGTACATAATCTAGCTGTGAATGATTTTTAGTAGCGATGATTTGACATTAGAGATAGTGAGAAAAGTAGAGACATCAAAATCATTCCTCCGTGGTAGGTGGCCTTTCCCTAGAAATACCCTGAGTTGTATGCTCTTGTCCTCATGAGACTAGTTACCGGACACTATCGCTGAAGCTCTCGCCCCCACGGAGATTCTTTGCTTCCCGTTCAAACTTTGTGCTTGATCATATTGCCACCATGTGAAGTACAGCTTCGAGTCCTTCACACGTGCTTCCCTTACGAACTGAAAATCACGAAGTCCCAAGGTTACTGAACATTATAATAGTCGGAAGGAAGGAGAGTAAGAAAAGTCATTATTTTAAACCAATTCTGTCCAGCGCGCGCAGTACATGGGTAATGCGGCTAGCCTGAACTATTGTAGACCGGATGTAATCAACATCTGAATAAACGTATCACGCTGCGGCATTCCCTCACGGTCGGACATCTCTACATATGAGCAGGATGATTGAAGTTCCAAACCCAAACCCTTGAATATGTCCCAAACCAAACCAGATTGACGGTTGTGAACCTTGGGAAGATGACATTATTTGAAAAATTGTTCAGAAAGAAATAAAATATATAGAAAGAAGTTTCTATTCATATTGTCTCATCTGAAGGTGAAATTGAAAATCATGAGGGAAAGTTACCACTCTTAAATATCTACTTGTTGATGAGTTTGAGTTTTGGGAAAATATAGTTAGTATGAAATCTTGAGAAGAATGTATGAGTAGATAGAAGAAGATTGAATTCAATGACTTGATAGTTATGTAATTATGTTGTAATGAAATTGCAAATGATAGTTTTTGAGTACTAAAACACGATGGAAAGTTGAATGTCCTATTTGAGTCCAAGTCTATAGTAATCTTGGAATCTAAAGTCAATATTGGCAAGAATAATCTTTGAATAAAATTGCTAGAATTCTAGGAATTTATGACTTAAGTTCAAATTATCAAAGTAAAAAAATTCTAATTCTATTTGAAATATTGTGGAATGATTGAAGAATAAAGTCTTTAGCTTAACAACAAAAATTTGACCAAGATCAACTTTGTCAAATGTAGTATTTTTGAATTTATCCGTTCAAATAACTTTCTTTTCAAAAAACCATAGACTTGTCAAACGTTATGCATTTCAAACACATCAAGTAACAAAATGAATACTTTACCTTGTTCATTATTTATCAAATTTTGAATGATATACATGAGATTGTAAGTTAAAAAAAAATATAAGATTATTTTTATCCATTGAACTAGATTGATTTATATAAAAATACATTCATCTTGTGATTTATATACCACATTCATTACTTTGTTCATGATTCACAAATAACTATCTTATCAATTTGCCTATCCATCAATAGATGATAATCATGATTTTAACAAAATAGTCTTAAAATCATCATTTTAGTACTTTGAGTAATCACCACGATTTTTTAAACTAACAAACTTAAATTGTTTCAATAAGTCAAAGATCTATCAAAGAGTGATTTATAAATTTTGAAGATTTTTGAAAATATATATTATATATTTCAGTATTTTGAACACACAGAAATAGATGATTGAATATATTTTATGTGATAATGTGAAATTTTCATTTTTTATATGAGTATCTTAAAATTACTATTTATTTAATGACAAATTTAAAATGAATCAATATATTATTATCATTATTTTTTCCAACATTTTAGAGTTATCAAGTTTCATAAATAAACAAAATAATCTCTAGATTAATCTTACTAGCACTTTCATCATATATCTGCATGAACAATTTTCTCTTACAAATTGTATCTTTAAGTTATAACGTATAAGATATGTTATTTGAGCTACTTCATAAATCAATACAACTTTGCATAGTTGTGCTATTGGCCACTTGTATTGTATAATCTTTCATCATATGATATAGAATCATCATCTCGAGAATTCAATCTATATTGAGTTATGTTCACACTCGTTCATCTTTTAAATTTTTTCCAAGCCTTTTGTGGCTAGTCAATACTCATCTTTTAGTACAATTGTCATAATCGCACAAAGAACCATAATGTGAGATGAAAAATTGAAAGTTTATCAATCCAAGTACTTCCTTTGGTCATGTCATCCGTGTTTTATGCCAAAAATTACTTTGCGTCACTAAATACTGTAGCTAATAGAAATGTGATTTAAGATATCAATATTTATTCCAATTTTCTATGTAATCTATATATTATTGCTTGAAATCATGATAATTGCTCAATAGACAGAGATGCAAATGCTGAAATAAGCATTTCAAGCCGTAAATGAATTGAACAATGTGAAGTTGAACATCTATTTCAAATGCTTCGCATTATGTTTCAAACTCTTAGATGAAATCATTAAACTTAATGCTGCTCATTGGAACTTAATATTATATGTATCCATTGTGTTATCATAGATAAATATTATTTATGTACCACAACAATTATGTATATACGTACTTAAGCTTTCATCAAACTTAGCTTTGTCATTTGACTCAATAATCAAGTCAAGATCTTTGATAGATCCTAGAGTCTAAGCTTATGAAACAATCTTTAGCTACTTAGAATTAAAGTAAAGATTATTCAAAATAAAGACAATATTATCCAATAGTGGACTATTTATAACTGTCATGTTAGCAATCTGTGAGTTTGGTAGTGAAAGAGTTCATGTGTTGATTAACAGCAACACATCAGCAATCCGTATGCTTGTTAGATATATTTGGCATACCATCAATTCACTTGTATTGCAATGGATGGTGGAGATGAAACCTCAACTTTTTGTACATGTTAAAAAGATCTATACATAAAATATTATAATCATGTTAGTTATGTATTATCTTCAGAATTTGTGTTGTATCTTCAAGTAAACTTTTGTAATTCGTAATGTTTCAATGTTATTAGAGCTATCTTTAACTTTTCTTGAATGTGAATTATAGCTCATAAAATATCAAAAAAATGATGATAATTTATGGTCTTGATATTATATAAACATTTGTAGAGATCATTGATTTGCATGCAGAAAAAAAATAAAGAAAAACTTATAATTGTGCAAATGTGAAATTATTCACATTTCATGTATTTCATGAAATGATTGAGTAACACTTGAGTATGAAACTTAAGTGAAGAGTTTTTTAATGATTAGACATTTTTTTGTACATTTATGAATGTTATATTCATAAATCATATATTCATAGATTTTCATTCTTTGTTACAGTTAGTTACTTTTGATTTAGGTTGTTATATTAGGGACATTATTAGTTGCCTTTCTAGTGCTATTGGCACTAGCTAGGATTAGCCTTTGGGGTTTTTTTATCTTGTTTGTGGTTGTCGCATGTATTGTGTTTTTCAGCCTTTTGATCCTTTAGGTCCCCGGGCTTGATCTATTACCATTTACCATTTATAATTCAAACCTTAACATCTATGTTAGACAAAGGTAAATAAAGAACAAGTGACATCATTCTAGAAAAATATTTTGTTCCACATGTAAGCGTAAAACATGAGATTCATCAGTGGTAAAGCATTCAAGCTAACAACCAACACGAGATACGCAAGCTTATAACGTGATTCACCTTCAAGGGATACGTCCACGGGTAAAAGCATTGTGATAGTATATTGTAGATACTCTGATAATACATAGACCTTGGGTATATGTATTATCAGACCAATTTCAGCTATAAATAGTTAAACGTGAGATTACTCATTAACCAGAGCTAACCTCAATAATCTTCTCCTTAATTCATGTTAAGAAATCTCAATAAACTCTCTAACCCATATTTTTATTTCCATAATAGAATAGTGTAATAACATATAGAGGTAAATCAATAATCTCCTCCTTAACTTGTGTTAATCATTTATAAAACCGTTAAGGATTTTTTCTAAAGAGTACTTGAGGTATTTTTATGAACATAGCTAAGTTCAAATGATTGATAAAAAAATTATTTTTATTGTCTCTTATGCGTATTTTTTTCTTGTAGTATTTTGGCTTGTGAATATGTTTTTCTTTTTTTTTGGCATTAGGTGTTTAAAATTAGATATTTGTGTCTAGAATGCATTTAAATTTAATCATAACAATTGATCTAAACGCAAATAAAAGTAAATTTTTTTTATTATCACACGCACGAGGATGATGCTAGCTCATCAATTCACTTAGATATTTTTTCTATATCATAGTTTAAGTGTTGAGATTTCAAGAAAAGATTGAACGTAATTTAATGGAGTTCCAAGTTCATATGAAAGTGTTAATCATAAACATTTTCTATAGATAATTACAAAAAAAATTCAAAAAAATATGCTTTTTGCAACTGTGCTTGTGTGTATGAGCAATCGAATCTTTGAAATATGATGATAAAGTCTTCAAGATCTTTACAAAAAATTGTAAACTTTAAAGATGATTTTTGATTCTCCGATTTACTCCCACTCAGGCATATCTTATATAACATTTTTGATAGGCACATCAAAATTATAGAAGATTAGCATTCATCTACATGCTTGCGTCTTGAACAGCCTCTCACATAATCTTTTCACTCATCACTCAAGATAAGTCTCCATCATTGAAATTTCAAGATGATTCACAAATTCTAACTTTTAATGATGAAACAAGTCTTCATACAAAAAATCCTTCAAAACTTGCTTGAAGATATCTTCACTTTCTCTGTATTTGAAGTACTTACGAAAGTAATGTAGAAACTCTTAGTAATTATTATCTGAGTTATTTTCACTAAGATAAATATTGATAATAAAGACTAATTTCCAATATGAACAAGATGTCATTGGAGTATTTTAACCTTCTAGAAGTTTTGTTGTTCTTAGATTGAAAAATTGACATGTTTTTGAAGAGCTTAAAACTTCTAAAAATTTCACTTGCCATTGAGTGAAATTTTAGATTTAATCTAAGTAATGAAAACTCTATTATTTAGTCAAATCAAAATTA